GATTTCATTATTCTCTCTTCTGTCCTGACTGAGGATCCAAATTTTAAGCCCAGAAAAAGATTAGTTTTAATTTCTAATGTTTCTCTTCCAGAAAACATCAAGATACTGTGTCACCATGTAGGAAAATAAAGCTCTTTTTCTTACCCCTGTTTCACCAGCAAACTCCTCCCCCCAAGCTCTCTCATTACAGACCACTGGATGGGTTCCTCATGTCTCTGAGAAGAGGCTGCCATCTTGTGGATACTGACTTGAGCAAAGATTTGCTAAAAATAAATGCTTTTCTTATTGAGCGTCTAAATTAAAAATCTGTCAACTTGGTTTGATACAAATTTAAGAGACATTTGCTTCAAGTCAATGGGGGAACTTGCATGTTTTAAGGCATCTCAAGTTAAACTTCAAATACGTCCTGAGTTACCTCTAGCAGCCACTTCCTTATATTCAGCGATTCAGACTTTTTCTATCAACACATCTGAGTGAGGTTCTGTAGGACAGTAGTATTTCACACAGCACAACTTCTCTCTAGGACAGACAATGCACCTGTATAAAACACTTCATCTTTGACTTTTGAAAGAACTTCTTCTAATTAAAGCAATTCTAGAGAAACTGAGTAGGTTAAAATCTCACTTAATACTATGTTTCCATTTCAAAATCTAAGGAACATATCTTTTATTTTTGAGATAGAGTTTGCTATGGTGGTTTGAATTACAATGTCCCCTTAGGCTTATCTATTTGAATCTGTGGTCCCTAGTTGGTGTAACTGTTTGGGAAGAATTAGGAGGAATGGTCTTCTTGGAGGAGGTATGTCGTTGGGATAAGTTTAGAGATTTCAAAACTCCAAGCCATTTCCAGTTTGCGCTCTCTCTCTCTCTCTCTCTCTCTCTCTCTCTCTCTCTCTCCCCCTTTTTCTCCCTCTTTCCCTCTCTCCCTCCCTCTCTCCCTGTGTGTCTGTGCGCGCGCGTGAGAGAGAGAGAGAGAGAGAGAGAGATACAGATACTGGCATCATTTTCTCGTTTAGCATGGAGAAAGCAGCTTTGAGAGGTTAACAGCATGCTCCAGGGTGGATACCTGTTAACTGAGTGGACTTGCAGCGCACAGTACAAACCGTAGAGCCCAGTCTCTTGCAGCCCGTGCTAGCTGTGTACTCACAGTCTTGCTGCCTGTCCTCCTCAGGCCTGGGAATTCCGAGGTGTGCTGCCATACTTGGCTGAGCCCTGTGCTCTTTGCACTAGCCGAGATCGGCATGCCAGAGGTGGGGTTACTCCTGGGAAGATGACATGTAATTGTCACTGTCAAATTTGTGACTACATCCACTGGATTGAAAGCAAGCGTGAATTTGTCAGTTCCAGGGCTTTTGCTTAGGAGACTATTTCAGTTGACTGTTGGGAGTTGAAACTATGTTATCTGTTTTAGTAAATAGAGTTTGTTTACTTGATAGCGCTCCTATCTCGTTGACTAGCTTTGGTTCTGAAGCTAGCACAATCTGGCATCTTTCAGTTCCTTTCCTGTGTACTCTTTTTTTTCCGTCTTAGGGCGTTTTGGCTTCTCCAGTTTCCTTCCCTAGAATGTCCACTCTTTAGTTCTTGTAATTGGCACCAATTCAGATCTTGACGTTATCAAACCTCCTTTGATACATGTTGCTATCAATTTATCTAAAATATAAACTTTCTTTTTTTTGCAACAGGAGTTTCTATAGCGCAACCTGGTATTGAACTCACACTGAGGGTGACCTTAAACTGATCTTCCTGCCTCCTCAACGTTGGTAGTACATGCATATCACACTCTGTTCATTCTGTTGTTTTCTCCTGTATATTTTGCATCTTTGAGGCATATGTTACAATTTGGAGCTATGCATTAATATTTTTGTTGTCATCATTTTCCCCAGATGTCTCCCAGAGGGGAGGCTTTGTGTCAGTGTAGTTCATTTATTTTCTTGCTGTTGCATACACATGCCTAACAAACACTGTATATGTGAAACAATAGTTTGCACTATCATTAAATGTTTTCTCTTTATAGAAATAATACTGAACTGTTTTATTTTCTTCAAAATGTACTTTATTCTGCTATACAAAGCACACATTTGAGAAGAGCATAATTTTAATGTATTCTAAGAAAATGTCCTATAGAAATGTTACAAAACATTATTTCAGTTTTGATCATAGTCTGCCTCTGGATGTACAGTTAGGTTTAAATGTATAGAGGTATTGTAGTGTAAAATAATTGCAGATTTATAGCATAGCCAGTTCTCAGCACCAAATAACCAAAATAAATGAAATTAATTACGAATATTTATTTTTATTTACAGGTGAGGATGTATGGTCTGAAATCTTAAACCATGAGTCTAGCACTTAATGATCTGCTCATTTGCTGCCGACAATTAGAACATGATAGAGCTACAGAACGAAGGGTAATAAGTTATTTGAAATTGTTTTTGTTAAAATAAATGTTTGATAGGTAACATGTAATTATTATTATATTCTTTTTTTTTAATTTTCAGAAAGAAATGGAGAAATTTAAACGTCTGATTCAGGATCCTGAAATAGTTCTAAATTTAGATAAGCATTCAGATTCCAAACAACAAAAATATTTGAATTGGGATGCTGTTTTCAGGTATTATCTTTGATTTTGTTTTACTTTCTTTTCCTGTTTTGTGATCCCTTTTGATTTTCTTCATTGTGTGTTATATTGGAAGTTGGCACTTAGTTATCAAAGATAATTTTGAAAACTCATACATAATATTAAAAGTTTTAAAGTCATTTTTTCAACAAAATGCTTTAGATATATGTCATTTAAGATCAAGAAAGAAGTTGGCCATCATGGAATTTCTGTAATACTGTATTTTTGAGGAAGGAGGTGCATGAGTTCCAGTCTTATCTGGTCTGCATAGCAAGCCCCTGTCTCAAAGAAAACAAAAAACTGATTAAGAATTTTGTTACCTTTGACTAGTTTATATGGATTTGTTCCAAATTAGATTTATAAGTAGTAATAACTGGGCAGTAGTGGTACACGCCCGCTTTTAGTCCCAGCACTCTGGAGGCAGAGGCAGGCATATCTCTTAGTTTGAGGCCAGACTGGTCAACAGAACGAGTTCTAGGATAGCCAGGACTATACAGAGAGACCCTGTCTCTCAAAAAAAAAAAACCAGAAAGAAAACAAAAAAGTAAGTTATAATATTTGTTTATCATTTTAATTGTTGCTGATTATAAGTATCTGGCATGTGCTAAATTATACTAAAGCAAATAAAGTAAATATTGGAATACTTTCACATTAGTGGAGTTTAAAAATACTTGTTTGTGGCATAGTTTATACATTTTTATATTGAAACTTCATTTTTTTTCCTTAAAAACATTTATTTATTTGTTTTTATGTACTAGTGCTCTGTCTGCGTGTATGCCTGCAGGCCAGAAGAGGTTATCAGATCTCATTACAGATGGTTATGAGCCACCATTTGGTTGCTGGGAATTGAACTCAGGACCTCTGGAAGAGCTAGTACTCTTAACCACTGAGACATCTCTCCATCCCTAAAACTTTATTTTCAACCGCAAATTTATTTATAACTAAAAACAGATACTGTGAGACTTTTTGGGGCAAAGTTTTTGAAAAAAAATTGAAGACATTTTTGTGTATGTGTGTATGCGTGCACACGCACACGTGTGTCTTTATCAAGTATATGCAGGTTCCTAGGAGTCAAAAGTGGACATTGGATACCCTTGAGCTGGAGTTGAAGTAGGTTGTAATCTGTTTGGCATGGGTGCTGGGAACTGAATTCTAGTCCTTGGGAAGAACACTAAGCACTCTTAACCACTGAGCCATCTCTGCAGCCCCCCAAATGTGTTTTAAATTTATGTAGATATCTGAAGCTGGTATGGTGGTATAATACCTGTAATCTTGGCTCTTCGGAAGTTGATAGAGGAAGATAATGAGTTCAGTTCATTACAAATTAAATAAATAATTGCAGTAAAGAAAGGTGTTCACATTTCTTTATAGAATATTATATTAGAATACTTCTAACAGATAAACTTATTTATTTATTTATTTTTGGGACAGGGTTTCTCTGTGTAGCCTTGGTTATCCTAGAACTTGATCTGTAGACCAGGCTGACCTCAAACCCAAAGATCTGCCTGCCTCTGCCTCTAGAGTGCTTCCAGTTGATAAATTTCTTCTCTTGATTGATACTAAACTGTTTCAATTCTAAATGCATATGATATGGAAAAATGCATGCTTCCTTGTTGAGCATTTAATTTATTTGCAACATTATAAATATAGTTATTTGTTTTTATATGCTGATTAGTTTTGTATCTAATAATCTTGGACAGCTTTCAATATCTTCTAGCCAGTCTTCATTTAAAGACCAGAAATATTACTAGCTGCTTGTAATGTAAGGAGAGTTAAAATCCTCAGTAGCATTCTGAGCAAGTAGGTGAGGTGACAGACAACTGTGCAGCTTACAGGCTTAAAAGCTTTGCAAGCCAGGCTTTATATTGATTTTGCACCTTGTTAGACCTTGGAAAAGATAGTTTCATGTAACTAGTACAACACTGTAGTTTAAATGATGTTTTGGGGGAAGGCATACAGGAGCCTTTTGAATGATAAAATTATAAGCGTTAATGAGAATATGCATTTTTTCTTCCAGGTTCCTGCAGAATTATATTAAAAAAGAAACAGAATGTCTGAGAACAGCAAAATCAAATGTATCAGCCTCCACACAGACCTCCAGACAGAAAAAGATGCAAGAGATCAGCAGTTTAGTCAGATACTTCATCAAATGTGCAAATAAGAGTAAGCGACATTATGTATTACACACAGATGCATAGGCGTTAACATAGCATAAATCGGATCTTAATACAGTAGCGTAAAAATTAAGTACTGACTGAAATCCATAGCACATACTCTTAGTACTGTTGTACCAAAATTTGGGGAAATTTAGCATAAAATCTTTAATCTCCAGTCGTGCGGTGGTGGCGCACGCCTTTAATCCCAGCACTTGGAGGCAGAGGCAAGCGGATCAGCCTGGTCTACAAGAGCTAGTTCCAGGACAGGCTCCAAAGCCACAGAGAAACCCTGTCTCGAAAAACCAAAAAAAAAAAAAAAAAAAAAAAAAAAAAAAAAAAAAAAAAAAACCATAAACCCCCAAAANAATGGAAAGATCAGAATTATTTCTTTAATTCCCCTCTGTCTTTAGATGTCAGCAGAAGTGTTGTCTTAAAGATTCAGTAAGCGTTTTGAAGCTGAGCAGTTTCAAAGGTGTAAGAGCCTGGTAGGGTACTGAGATGGCTAGGCACCTCAGTGTGAGTTCCACAACCAAGCTGTCCTCTCACCACCACACAGGTACATGACGGGGGTGTTTTAGTACATGTGTGAGCCATGTGCACACACACAAAGTAAATAATGAAAAAATAAAATATAAAAATATTAAATATAAAAATAAAATTTTTAAGGATTTTTTAAAAAAAATGTCTCTATTACTGCTTCTACCTTAATTTCTCAGACTTATCTATTTATGTATATGTGTATTTCGTCTGCATATGTGTAAGTGTACCATATGATATGTTCCTAGTACTTCTAGATAGAAGAATCTTCTGGAACTTTAGTTCTAGATGGTTATAAACTACCACGTGCATGCTGGGAACCAAATCTAAGTCTTCTGCAAGAACATTAAATGTTCTCCACTGAGCTATCACTCCAACCCCTACAAATTCTTAAGTAATATACAGAAAGCCTAGTAATTATTTCAGATGATAACACTTGATATATTTGAAAATAGTTATAGAATTCCCATGTTCTTTTTTTCTAAGGTAAATGTACCCAATTCTTCCAGCTCATGTGGACTTGTTTTTATTTTACTCTCTTTAATATTCTTTGGTTTGTTATTTCTCTCACAAAAGGTGGAACTTGAGCTTGCTTGCAGTATAATCTAACTGACATAGTCTCCAGCATATTTGTTTCAAGTTTGCTTTGTGAAACAAGGTCTTTTATGTTAGCTTAGATTTGTGATTCTGCTGTCTCAAATCTTCCTTGTGCTGTGATTACAGATATGTGCCCCCATGATGCATTTATTTATTTGTGTGTGTGTGTGTGCTCATGCCTATAAGTGATGGGTGCACACAAGTGTTCTGAGGACAACTTCAGCTGTCATTCCTTTGGTACCATCCACCTGTGTTTTCTTACAGAGTTTTTTGTTGGCCTGGAGGTTGCCAATAGGCTAGGCTTGCTGACCAACAAGCTGCAGGGATCTTCCTGTCTGTCTTCCTCATGCAAAGAGTACATATGCATGCCACCATGCCCAACTTTTTGGTGTGTGGTCTGGGAAATGAAACATAGGTCTCTATGCCTGTAATCAAGCACTTTACTAACTAAGCTATTGCTCCAGCATTTATTCATTCTGAGATAACGCTAGCATTCTTGTAATCAAATACAGTTGTATATTGTGCTGTCATTTAAGGAACAAAAGTCAAGTCCTTTTTTTGTGTGCATGTCACTGATAAACCTCATATCTTTCATCTTGAACTTATGTATAGTTAAGTGTGTGTGTGTGTGTAGATGCATATATGGTACTGGGTGCTAAGCCTGAGGCCTTGTGGGTGCTAGATCAGCTCCCCATCTCTGAGCAGCATCTCTAGTCCCTACAGTTGATATTCTGAAGGATTGATTTTTAAAAACTTCTACATTTTCTTTTTTGTATACACGTATGTGCATTTGCCATGATGTGTTCATGGATGTTAGAGGACAACTTGTAGGTGTTGGTGCTCTCCTTATACCATATTGTCCTGGGGATTGGACTCAGATCTGCAGGCTTGGCAGTAAGCACCTTACCAGAGGAACCGACTTACTGCGTCAAGAATGACATTTTTGAAGCAGAAATGCAGGACCATCATAAGCTTTTGCAAAGAAATAGGTTTTACATAGCACTGAAAATTAGAACAAATATCATTTGTTGAGAGATCTCAGACTTTGTACACTTTGTAATAGCAACTTTAGGCTAAAATGAGGCAAATCCATGGAGTAGTGTGATGGTTCAGCAAGTAAAAGGTACCTGCTGCCAGGCCTGACAACCTGTGTTCAGTCTCTAGGAAGGTGAAAGGAGAGAACTGACTCTCACACGTTGTCTTCAGACTCCTATGCTCATGAGTTACAGACATGCACCACCATACCTGACTTAAATTTTTTACTCTTGTTTTTTATTTTTAAGACAGGGTCTTGTTAGGTGGTGGTGGCACATGCCTTTAATCCCAGCACTCAGGAAACAGAAGCAGGCAGGTCTCTGTGAGTTTGAGGCCAACCTGGTCTACAAGGGCTAGTTCCAGGACAGGCTCCGAGATACAGGGAAACCCTGACTCAAAAACAAAACAAAAAAGACAGGGTCTCCATGTGGCTCAGGGTGTTCTTAAACTTTTTTTTTAATTAACATTGTTTTTGTTTATTTTACATACCAACCAGTTTTCCCTCCCTCCTCTTTTCCTGTTTCCTCCACAACTCTCATTTATCCCCTTCTCATCCACTCCTTCTCCTCCATTCAGAAAGGGGCAGACCTCCAGCGGGCTTGAATAAAGCTTGGCACATCAAGTTGAGGTAGGACCTAGGTCCTCCCCCTGCATCAAGGCTGTGAGCTAATCCAGCGTGGGGAACAGGTTCCCAAAAGCCAGCTAACAGTCAGGGACAGGTCCTCACTGCTGGGAGCCTTATGAACAAATCAAGCTACACAAACTGTCACACACATGCAGAGGGCCTAGGCTGGTCCCATGCAGGCTCCCTAACTGTTGGTCCAGAGTCCATGTGCTCGCATGTACTCAGGTTAATTGTCTCTGTGGGTTCCCCCATCATGACTTTGACCCCTCTGACTCATATGATCTCCTCTTTCCCTTTCTTCAGGAGGACTCCCAGAGCTTGGCCCTGTGCTTGGCTTTGGATCTCTGCATCTGCTTCTATCAGTTACTGGATAAAGGCTCTCTGATGACAATTTGGGAAGTTACCAGTCTGATTTCAGTAGATGGCCATGGTGTTCAGGCATCCTCTCCACTATTGCTAGGAGTCTTAGCTGGGTCATCTAAATACCAAATAATCCAGTTAAAAAATGGAGTACAGCTCTAAGCAGAGAATTCCCAACAGAAAAATCTCAAATGGCTGAAATACACTTAAAAAATAGTCATCAGGGAAATGCAAGTGAAATACCAACTTACATCTGTCAGAATGGCTAAGATCAAAAGCACTGATGACAGCTTATGTTGGAAAGAGTGTTCTTAAACTTACTGTATAGTCAAGAATGACACCTTGACCTTCCTAATCTTGCTTTTACCTGGGGCCACTGAGATTATTGGTGTATAATACTGTGTCTTGTTCAAATTGTTTTTAAATGTAATTTTGTGACCCTTGAGATTATACATCTAGATGTGGGAGAGATGATTCTGGTGTTAAGAGCATTGGCTACAGCTGCGTGGTGGTGGCGCACGCCTTTAATCCCAGCACTCGGGAGGCAGAGGCAGGCGGATCTCTGTGAGTTCGAGACCAGCCTGGTCTACAAGAGCTAGTTCCAGGACAGGCTCCAAAACCACAGAGAAACCCTGTCTCAAAAAACCAAAAAAAAAAAAAAAAAAAAAAAAAAGAGCATTGGCTACTTTCCAGAAGACTTGGATTTACCCACATGGGAGCTCTCCACCACCTATAGCTCCAATTCTAGGGGATCTGATGTCATCTTCTGGCCTTTGGCACTGCACGCATGTGGTTCATACATACATACATGCAGGCAAAACACCCGTACAAATATAAATAATAAAATTTTAGAAAAGGTGTCTGCTTTAAGTGCCCATTTTAAAAGAATATTTGTCTTATTAGCACTGAATTTTCAGAATCTAAAATGTGTTGCTAAGATTTCAGCCTTTTCTATTTGTGTGTCACTTGTATGCTGTTAGATTCCATGGAAGTCATTGTGCTTTTTAGAGTAAATAGGCTATTTCTAGTTAGAATAATCCAAGATTATTTTAATAAATTTATTCATAAATATACTCAGATACTTATAATCCTTTTAAGTCTAATGCCAGGAATTGTGAATCGTTAAGTATAAGAATTAATCTTTATTTTTTCTGTATCTTTATGAATTGTCAAACTTAATCTTCAGTGGGGCCATATAGAAAAAAAATTTTTTTAACTTTCTGGGTCATATATCTGTACTCATTTCTTGTCATTTATAGTAGTAAATGCATGAACATGTTTGTGTTCCAGTAAATTTTTTTAACGAAATAGCCAACCAGTTGAATTTTACTCAGAGACTATAGAATTTACTAATCCCTGTTATAGGAGAAAGTGAATTGAGAGCAATTTCATGAATGGAATCATTTAAAAAAGTTGGCATTCCAAGGATTTTTTATTTTTAATATCTATATGTTTTTACCTTTTCATTTTATTTTTAAATAGGAGCACCCAGGCTAAAATGTCAAGACCTCTTGAATTACGTCATGGATACAGTGAAAGATTCATCTAATGGAGTAACTTATGGATCTGATTGTAGCAACATACTACTCAAAGACATTCTTTCTGTGAGGAAATACTGGTGTGAAATATCTCAGCAACAGTGGCTAGGTATGTTTTGAAGGCTGTGATTATTTTCTCCTATAAGATGAAATTTTAATAGTAAAAGCAGTATACAACCTACACATGACTCACAGTTTAACATTACATTGATGAAATTATATCATTACAGTATCAGTTCCTTAATTCTTTTCTTATTCAAGATAACATCTTGCTACATATCCTGTTCTGGCCTTTAACTTGCAATCCTCCTGCCTTGGTCTCTTAAGAGCTAGGATTATAGGTATGCACTACCATGTTCAGTTCTCAATTTTTGTTTATAATATACTTTTAAAATTATGAAGTCACGTATAGTTTATAGTAGGTGCTTACTACCAGAACTGGAATTGCAGATTTCAAAGATTACTGCTCTGTTTTTTAACTATTTAGCAATCCAATGATTGAATAAAGTCCAGTCAACTAAAAATTACCATGCCGTATGTTTCAGTACACATACGTGCACATACAATGTGTACACACAACAGTGACACCTCAACTGGACCATAAATAATGGAGAAAGAAAACCAAAAGAGGAAGAGATGTTACAGAAATTGAAAGCTAGAGTTCTGCCTGGGCGGTGGTGGTGCATGCCTTTAATACTACCACTCGGGAAGGCCAGCCTGGTCTACAGAGTGAATTTCAGGACAGGTAGGGCTGTTACACAGAGAAACCCTGTCTCAACAAAAAAACAAAAAAAGAAAAAGAAAAAAGGAAATCAAGTGTTCTGAGTTCAAAGGGATGTGGTGGATGGTGGACACTTTAAATGATACAGAAAGGATAAAGTGTATAAGTATTTATTGGATTAGGCAGAGATATTAGGTAACTGACTAGGTAATGAAAATCAAATGCATTAGAATATCTTACCCATTGACTTACTTGACATGCAGAGTGCTATTTTTTAATTTCTATTTCCAGATTGTTCAGTGATGTGGTAATGATTATTTTTTATTTCTGATATCCTTGTTTTAGCACTTGAGAAAGATATTAAACCCTGATTCCACTTCACTGGTCATATAAGTTCTCCTACCATTGTGATGCTATCTGACTTGAGGCCTCACCAGAGTCAAGCCTGTTTGTACAGCATTTCAGCATTGTATTGTAGTCCAGGCTGCTAAGCAAAAATAGCAGGTCCGAAAGGTTTATATCATTTAGTTCCATTTGCAAGTGACAGGATTACTCATGTATAATGTCTCAAGAAATTTACACTTGATAATATTTGAGGTTTTTTTCCAACTTCAGAAATGTATTTCTCATATGTAATTTTACTATCTACTTTGTTTTTTTTTTTACTGGATTCATGGAGAAATTATATACATCTGAATACGTATATATCACTCCTTTCTGCTCTTCTGAGACATCTAGAAATATCTTTGCCATCCTTTATATCCCTTCTAGCAGAGCATGATGGATTCTGTGATTATTTGAATCATTTCCAAGTAACGTGTGTCTTGAAGTCTGTGCTTTAATGAGGAGCAGTTGCACTTTTGTCTTTTGCTATTTCGTCTCACCTAATCTGTCAATAAAAGAGAAAATTATTTAAAAGAATACCTCTTTTATATGTAGAAGCATTTTTACCATTGAGTAGCTATTTCATGCAATGAAAATATGTTGGCATAATTGATATAATTCTATCAACTCTTATTTTGAAGTTTGATTGAAATACTTTACTGCAATATAATATTTAAATTATTTATATTGGCCTTATATCTTGTCTGATACCCAGTTTTAAGCCATTTATCCATTTCTGCAGAATCGTGACATAAACAATTGAAAAGGAAGATACAAATAGTTGTTATACTTTCTGTTTATTACTGTCTCTTTATCTTCTAATGAGAATAAAGTTGTAAGCCACTAGCTTATTTTTTATTATATTTGGGATAATTCTCAGTTGATTTTATTTTTCTGCATGTCTCTGACATAGAGATACTGGCTGTTTTTTTTTTTAAGTCCAGACTACTATTTTTTAAGGGTGTATTGATTGTATAGTGAATAACTTGGGAGGTAGAGTCAGTGGCTTCCTTCATACAAAGAATGGTTATGCTTTTAACCCATTTGTTTATAAAAGTGCTATTTTCATGTGGATCAGAATGATGCTATTGAGGTTTGGGAAACTAATGCAGAGATGGAAGTATTCTGCCTGCTGTTACTGCTATGAGGAGTAAACTTTTCTTTTTCTTTGAGTAAGAAGCTCATATCCTTTACCAAAAATCATGAAACTTTAATACTGTTTATTAATTACAAGCAGAGTGATGGTAATTACAGTGAGAGTAACGCAAGGCCATTCATAAATGGTAATATATTTAAAGAACATCATTGATAGGACATCAAAACTCTGTCAAAGACTTTGTTAAACCTAGATAAAGGAGTGTGGGCATGGAGAAGTTAGGTAGCTTATCTGAGGTTTAGTTGTTAAAACAGATTCCCACACACCGTGTTACTTATGTTTCTATTTTAAGTACAATATCTAAACATTGATGGAGTATTTGTTAAATTCAGGTAATCTTTAATGCTCTTGCCTATGGAGAATTATGGCGTATTTAAGTTGAATTGTGATGTTGAATATACTTTAAAATAATTAGCTAATACTTTTCTCCCCCAATTTTTAGAATTGTTCTCTGTGTACTTCAAGCTGTATCTCAGACCATCACAAGAGATGAATAGAGTTTTAGTGGCTAGAATAATTCATGCTGTCACTGGAGGATGCTGTTCACAGACTGACGGATTACCTTCACAGTTTTTAGATTTTTTTTCCAAGGCTGTTCAGTATGCAAGGTAATCTAATCACTGTGTTTTCATATTGTACCAAACTGTGTTAGCTCTTCTTGCCATCACCATGTTTTAGATTTAGTGACTAAAATATACTACCTTTTAAACAGTGGTTATTTCAGTTGCTTAGATTTGTGATGTAAAGTATGGCAATAGATATACAGTATGTAATGATCAAATCAGGATATTTCTATTTTCTTGAACATATAATTCAAATGTTTACCTGTGGTATTTCATTTTTTATATGCACTTGACCTCTATTTCACATCCTATATGAAAAACAAAAACAAACCTAAAACCTTAAAATAGACCAAAGCTTTATTTGTAACTTAGAAACTTGAGGAAAGCAAACAGACAAAACACTTTAAGATACTGATAGAAGGGACGCACCAAATGTTTGTATTCATCAAGCTACCTCCCCCACCACATAAAACAGCTCAGTGTAGTGTGACAAGTTTTAAATTCAGCACAGAGACAGAATCATTAGGACTTGATGACCACCAGCCTTGCTCCAAAATGGCAAACTCTTCAAGTGAGTGAGAGACCCTCTTTCAAGGTAATGATGTGGAGAACAGTTGGGACACCCAGCATCTTCCTTTGGAGATCTTCATGCTTGTGTGTGTGTGTCTGCACACACTAAATAATTTCTTAAGATAAACACAGTGCTCTTTTGGGATACCCTACAAAAACACAAAAGCAAAAAAAGGATAAATAAAATCAAAATCACATTAACTGCAGCTTTTTTTTTTTTTTTTTTTTCGAGGCAGGGTTTCTCTTTAGCTTTGGTTCCTGTCCTGGAACTAGCTCTTGTAGACCAGGCTGGCCTCGAACTCACAGAGATCCGCCTGCCTCTGCCTCTCGAGTGCTGGGATTAAAGGCCTGCGCTACCACCGCCTGACTTAACTGCAGCTTTTTAACAGAAAGAAAATACTGAGAAGAGTGAAGAGATAGCTTTGCAAATGGAAGGGGCTTTTGCACACTGTTTATCTTATTAAAGACTTAACAGCCAGATTATATGACAACGTCAGGAAACCGAATAACAAAACCATATCATTAGGAGATAAGATTGGGGTGAATTTGATCAAGACACATTGTATGAAATTCTCCAAAGAATTAATAAAATTGGTTTATTATTACTCTTATATCTGTGGAGGTTTCCTTTGTTTCTGAGTATGTGATCAATTTTCGAGAAGGTTCCATGAGCTGCAGAGAAGAAGGTATATTCTTTCCTTTTTGGGTGGAGTGTTCTATAGATGTCTGTTAAGTCCATTTGCTTCATTACCTCCAACAATTCTCTTAATTTTCTATTAGGTTTCTGTCTGATTACTCTTATAAAAGGTAGGCAAAGGGCTAGGTGTAGGGGTGTACTTCTGTAATTCCTGTTCTTTGGAGACTCTGCATAGGATGATTTTAAGTTTACAGCCACCTTGGTCTGTATCATAAGAAAATAGATGAGAAAAGAAAGATAATTATGCAATCAGTGAATTTATAATGAATACATTTAACTTCATTAGCTGTCCAAGACCTGAAAGCCAAACCATGGTGAGATAAAGTGGTTCTATAAAAACAAACAGGAAAGGCTATCAACAGTTTGGAGCTCACTGCATCAGTGAGACGGTAAAATACTGTCTCAGAAGTAACCGTTCACTCAGAACCAGCCGTTTCTCCAAGGATCAGATACAAATTTCCTTAATAAACAGTAAATTTGAGCCTTGGGGTCTTTTTTCATATGATAATAAGGGAAGTTGAATATCTTAAGTAATTCTCTTCATTTTAAGGATAGATGTAGTATATTGAGAATAAGGTAATAAACTACTTTAGGGAAGTTGAATATCACTTAAAGTAATTCCATTTTAAGGATAGATGTGGTATAATGAGAATAATACAATATTTTGGAAGCATTGGTACACATCTCTGACATTTTCTAGTTTATGTTAAACGTGTGAATTGTAGGTATACAAATCAGTTGTGTGTGTTTTAAGACAGTGGTTTAGTAGCAGAGAGATTTAGCAACAATTTTCTTGACCCCAAGTGAAAAGAATATGTTTTTGTTACGGGTTAGTGTAACAGGCTTTCTTGGATGGCCAAACAGCTCCCAAATCAAGACACAGAAAGTTAATATCATGTATGAATGCTCAGTCTTATCTTAGGCTTGTCCCACTAGCTCTTAAAACTTATTTTCACCTGCTTTTCTTCTTCCACATTTTGCCTCAGGGCTTTTTACCTTTCTTTCATTCTATAATGTTTTGCTTTTCCTGCTTCTTCCCTGTCTGGCTGCACGGTTGACTGGCCTTGGGGCTATCCCTCTTTTTCTCCCTTGTTCTCTTTTTTCAAGAATAGATCCTTCTCTTTTTCTCTCTGCCTGCCCACCGTTTATTCCTCTACTGCCTTGCTATTGGCCCTTCAGCTTTTTATTAGATCAATCAGGTGCCTTAGGCAGACAAAGCACCACATCTTTATCTTATTAAACAAATGCAGCATAAATAAATGTAACACACCTTTACATGGTTAAAGTAATATTCCACAACAGGTTAGTGCTGTTGGGTTTGGTTTTTGTTTGTTTTCCAAAGAGATTTGAACCCAAGATATGATACTGTTTGTAAATTACACTGAGTTGACTTTGTCTTCTGTTGCAGACAAGAGAAGAGCTCTCCTGGCTTCAGTCATATCTTAGCAGCCCTTGTCATTTTCCTCAAGACTTTGGCTGTCAACTTCCGGAAACGTGTGTGTGAAGTCGGAGATGAAATTCTTCCTACCTTACTGTATATTTGGACTCAACATAGACTTAATGATTCTTTAAAAGAAGTAATTATTGAACTAATTCAACTGCAGATTTATATCCATCATCCACAAGGAGCTAAAGCCCCTGAAAAAGGTATAACGGGAAGTTTTTCTGGTTTGAAAACGCTTCATTAAAATGTAAGAGGCCTAAGCATGACATTAATATTCTGTAGATGAATGAAGTATCTCTGATTAATAGTATAATTAGTCTTGAAACTTTTTTATACATTTTCTTGAATTTGAATTAGTGGCAGTAAATTATATCTTGCCTTTCTATTGTTCACTAAAGTATGATGCAACCAAATATGAGACATTGCCTATTTCTCTAAAAGCCATTTATCCCTCTTCAGTGTTAAGAGGTGACACGCTATAGAGCAAAGAGGTTTAGAAAATGCAGGAACTTGTTTATCTACATGTTGCTTCTTATTTCTAATAGAAAATATGAAAGCTAAATTAAAAACAGGCGATCTAATTATTCAGTTTCTAAAGAGGTTTTGTACTTAAAACTTTGCAAAGAGATGCAAAGTTAAATGGGGCAATGACTGCACCTTGTGCCTTTAGTTACACCTTTTCTGGAGAATGAAAACAGCAACAGTAAAACATTGGTTTAATTTCCTTCCTGATTGTTTTCCTTATTTATTTTTTTAAAGATTGATTGATTGATTGATTAATTGATTTATACAGAATCCTGCCTGTAGGCAAGAAGAGGGCACCAGATTTCATTATAGGTGGTTGTGAGCCACCACGTGGTTGCTGGGAATTGAACGCAGGACCTCTTGAAGAGTAGTCAGTACTCTCAACTGCTGAGCCATTTCTCCAGCCCTTTCCTTATTTTTTTTAAACCAAGTATTGCTCTTCAGTCTTTTGGAATTAGAGTGAATGACAGCTGACTTAAAAGAACTCCATTGTGACTATTTGTAATTGCCTTTGGGCTTACATTAGCCTTATACTAGTTCATCGTGGCTAATAGTGATAATTTTTGTTAAGATGACTGCCACATAAATAACAAAACCTAGAATGGAAGATAGCCGTTGTAGCCATTTTCTATTCCATATGTATCAGCTCTTAGATTTCTGTAGCCCATGAAATGATGTGACTTCCCAGTTCTTTCTCTTTAACCTGTTCTAACCAGGATTAAAAAAAAAAAAATCAGGTTGGTTAACAAGTGGTATCGTATCAAATGTTAGCTAACTGCATATTTATGGTGGGAATTTGACAGGATGATCAGGCTGCCAGAAAATTCACATGGTTTTAGCCTCCAATAATTTATTTTTATGGTATACTGTCTGTGAGAATTAATGACCCTGTATTTTTCCATGAGAATTAGGCAGTTGGAGAATTATGTTCACCAGACTTTGCAGACTCCAGGTCAGCATTTTAAGAGAGACATAAGTTAACTGGAGTATGACTTGAATGGTGCGATAACCACCATAAACGGATGGCATCGTATATGTACTCGCTGAAGAAGCTAGTAATAGTTTCCTGTTAACACTAATAAAAATTAAACAGAAAGCTAGGCAGTGGTGGCGCACTCCTTTAATCTCACCACTCAGGAGGCAGAGTCAGGCAGATCTCTGAGTTTGAGGCCAGCCTGGTCTACAAAGCAAATTCCAGCACAGCCAGGTCTACTACACAGAGAAATCCTGTCTCAACCACCCCCCCCCCCATAAAATAGAAACTGTTACTCATGTGGAAGAGGGCATATTATCTTCTTTAGGGGACATCATACAAAAAGGGAAGATTTTGATGAGAATGTAAGGTCATTAATAACAACCACAGTTACCTAATTATGAAGTGAACCCTTAGGGAGTAGAGTTTTCAAAGCTATGGCCCAAGAGGCATTAGTACTGAAGAGACGCTGGACTGGACATGTTGATGTGAGAGCTGGCGGTGCAGATGGGTTTGTATATAAATACCTGTTTCTGAATTACAGGTGCCTATGAATCAGCGAAGTGGAAAAGTATCTTGTACAACTTATATGACCTGCTGGTGAATGAAATAAGTCACATAGGAAGTAGAGGGAAATACTCTTCAGGATCTCGTAATATTGCAGTCAAGGAAAATTTGATTGACTTGATGGCAGATATCTGTCACCAGGTATAGTAGCTGTTGTCACATTTGAAATTTCCTGTTAATTTTCTTTCTGCTGTGCTTTTATACCTTTCATGATCACAAGAAGCCTATAAAATTATTCTATACATAAAACAATTATTTTCAAATTATGTGTATTTGAAATTAACCCTTATAATTGAAAGATAACTCTTTTGAATATATGTCTGGTGCTAGTGGTGACAATCATACAGAAAAGGTGAATATACCTTAATTAAAAAGTTAAATTAGAATTCATGTAGCATAAAATTCACTGATATTTACAATAGTAATTATTCTTAGTTTGTTCTAAGACTATCACCAAAATCTAATTCCAGAGTCTTTCTGTTATCTCAGAGGAAACTTCAGACCTCCTAGCTTTCAGTTAGGTTTATTTGTTTCTCTTAGCTACTAATATACTTCTAATATCTGAATGGTTTGTCTGTTTTGGATATTTTATAAAAACAGAGTCATATTTTTGTGGGGTTTTGTGCCTGGCTTCCTTTACATCAGGTAGTATTTCCCACTGGGCAATATAAATTAGTGTTTTATTCCTTATAATGGAACAATAATTATATGTGTATAGTACATTTTGCTTAACCATTCATCAGTTGATACCCTACTGTGTGTCTTAAGTAAAACTCTTCTTCATACAGATTTGGTTGATTACCTGGTGGTAGTTTTGCTCTCTTAAATGTTAATGGTAAATTTAAATCCCCCCCCCCCCCCCCAGACAGAGTTTCTGTCCTGGCTATCTTGGAACTCACTCTAAGGACCGGCTGGCCTTGAATTCACAGAGATCCACCTGCCTCTGCTTTCCAAGTGTTGGATTAAAAGCATGTGCCACCACCACCTGGCCAAATTTAAATTTCTTTTTATTTTATTTGCATTGGTGTTTTGCCTGCATGTATGTCTGTGAGGGTGTCATATCTGGAAGTTACAGACAGTTGTTACCTGCCCTGTGGGTGCTGGGAATTGAACCTGAGTCCTCTGGAAGAGCAATCAGTGCTTTTAACTGCTGAGCCATCTTGCCAGCCTGGAAATTTAAGTTTTAATCCTGTTGAAAATACACTTTTTGCAGTTTTGGTAAATATCCCCAGGAAATAATGCTACCTACATGCAAATATTTGCTAAGATTTTTCTCTTAACATGGTTATATATTTCTATAACTCGTTAATCATTATGAGTTCCTGTATTCATTTGAGAAAGATTTCCCCCAATGTTTTACTAGAAAATTGTAATTGTAGCAATAAAAATGTGTGTTTTTTTTGTTTTTTTTTGTTTTTTTTTTGCAGCTTTTTAATGCAGATACCAGATCCGTGGAGATTTCTCAGTCTTATACTACACAAAGAGAGTCCACTGATTACAGTGTGCCTTGTAAGAAAAGGAAAATAGAAGTAGGCTGGGAAGTGATAAAATATCATCTTCAGAAGTCACAAAATGATTTTGATATTGTGCCTTGGTAAAATGTTTATTTTTCTCATTCCATGTCATTTAATTGCATTTTTCCCAGAAAGTGTCCACTGACCAGAGCTGTCATTTGTCTACTCCCAAACCAGCTAGTAGTAACAAAGTGTGATTGTTATAGCATACTGAGCTAACCACTAAAGGCTCATCTGCTGCACTAGAGACTGCCTTCTTATGTGTGTAGACATAGCAGGGAAGAGGGGCATGGGTGTGCTAGGCAGTCTGTATTTTCTGCCCTTGGGGTTCACTGAGTTATAAACCTCATTAAGAAGACTCCCCCCTCTCCCCCAGTGTAAAGTACCTTCATGTAGGTTGGATTAGCAGTGAATTAAAGAGCATTAAGGAATCATAGGGTAATTTTGATCTTTGTCATGATAGTAGGGTTTTTTTTTCTTCTTCTTTTTATTTTCATTCATGCGTATTTAAATGTGCCCAATTTTAGAATCACAGATTAGCTCTGATAAGGATCATTAGACTAAGTCTAGTTAGGCCTGTTCCACTTTGCTGAAAGGGACCAGCTCTAGAAATGTTAAGCAGAGTGCCTAAAGACACTTAGAAATTACAGGGTTTTTGTGTTTTTGTGTAGTTTTCACCACATTGCTGGAATACTTAGATGTAATTGAGTTGTGTGGAAAACTATATAGACTTTGTTACTTATTGCTTGTCTTTATATTTATATACCTGACAGTTCTACTTTAGATTCTTTATTTAATCAAGAATTACTAGCTCTGCAATGGTGATGCACACATTTAATCCCAGCACTTGGCAGAAACAGGCAGATCTCTCCCTGAGTTCAAGGACAGCCAGGGCTACACAGACAAACCCTGTCTCAAAAAGCAAAAACAAACAAAACAAGAATTACTGAATGACTTTTATGTGTCATACTTTAGACATGCAGCAATGAACAATACAGGATTCTTGGTTTTGAGCAGCACTCTTTCTAGATCAGTGGTTCTCAACCTTCCTAATGCTGCCACCCTTTAATACAGTGCCTCATGTTGTAGTAACTTCAACCATAAAATTATTTTAGTTACTGCTGCTAAACAGTAATTGTGCTACTCTTCTAAATCATAATGTAGATATCTGATATGCAGGATGTCTGATATATGACCCCTGTGAAAGGGTTGTTCAGCTCTCAGGTTGAGAATCACTGTTCTAGAGAATAGACAACACATTGTGTTGAATAATAAATTGGTTTCAGAGAACAAATGTTTAGAAATGTTTAGTTTTTTTTTTTAACATAGAATAATTTTGGTGACTAAAGATCAGAAATTTAGTTTTTTTCTTTTTTGAGGTTTTATGTAAAGACCTAGCTAGCCAATAATAGGTTTTCTGTATTCTGATAATAGGTTTCTCCAGGCATACAGTAAACCGGATCAAACCAAACTGAAAAAGTAAAAGAACAGGTTTATTTGAGCAAGGCAAATTCTAGGTGATTTCTCCAGCCCCCCAAGATAGAGGCAGGAGAAGTCATATCTACCTGAACTAAAGCAGGGAGCTTATATAGGTTGTAGGCAAGGAGTGAGGACATGTTCACCACAAGCTGGTCTTATGTCCAAGTATGGTCAAAAACAGACTACTTTAGGCAGGAACTTTGGACTTTAGAAGGGCTGACAATTTCAGGGGAGGAGCTGCTGTAGCAGCCAAGAGTGCAAAACTGGGCTTTTTGGTGCCTTCCATTTCTTGAAGATTCTCTGAGAGAGAGCTAGGAATGGGGCTTTCAGATGAAGCAGGAGTGAGCTGGAGGTTCCAATGGAACAGCCAGAAGTTGTACTTCTTTCTTCCTTCTGTAATAGGCAGCAGAGCCTAGTAAATATCAGGTTATTTTATTTTGAAAGCACTATGGGAAAGAGTGAAGATGATACTTTAATTAGGATACATAAAGGTATATAATTTTTTTTTGTTTTTGTTTTTTGCTTCTTTGTTTTTTCAAGACAGGGTTTCCCTGTGTTGCTTTAGAGCCTGTCCTGGAACTATTGTAGACCAGGTTGGCATCTAACTCACAGAGATCCGCCTGCCTCTCCCTCCTGAGTGCTGGGATTAAAGGCATGTGCTACAACTGCCCAGCGGGTATATAATTTGTATATTTGTTTCCTTTAGGTTGTTAATGGGATTGAAAAAAATTTCAAATTCTTTTTTTTTTCTTTCAGGCTACAGATTACAACCCAATTAATATCAAAGTATCCATCCAGTTTACCAGACTGTGAACTGTCACCATTACTACTAATACTGTACCAGCTTCTCCCTCAACAGCGGCGTGGAGAACGCATACCATATGTGTTGCGATGCCTGATGGAAGTTGCCTTATGTCAAGGCAAGAAATCAAACCTAGGAAGCTCTCAAAAGTCAGATTTATTGAAACTGTGGATTAAAATTTTGTCTATTGCCTTTCGTGGCATAACTTCTGAACATACACAAAATGAAAACTTTGGTTTACTTGGGGCCATTATTCAAGGTAGTTTAATTGAACTTGACAGAGAATTCTGGAAGTTATTTACTGGCTCAGCCTGTAAACCTTCAAGGTAGGTTGTATTATATTTGATTTTACATATGGACACAAGTGTATTTCATTTTGTAGTTTGTTACTTCATAGGAGATATATTAGGTTTTGTTTTGGGTACTTTTGTTTGGACCCAAATGCTTAATAATACAGAGGTTTTTTTTTTTTTTAGACCAATTTAGTTTTGTTTTTTTGGAGATAGGGTTACTGTGTGGCCCTAATTTCCTCCACTTCTAGAATTATTGGCTAGCCTCAGACTTAGAGATATCTGCCATCTGCTTGCCTCTGCTTCCCAACTGCCTGGATTAAAGATATGAATCACTGTGTTCTACCTTTTTATTTTTTTAGGCCAGTTTTTTTTGAAGGATTATAAAGTTTAAATCTTTTACCTATAAATAATAATTATTCACTATTCATAAACATTTTTGTAGTTGTGTATATTTTTATTGGACAAAAAAATCAAGAGTTTTCTCAAATGTAACCTTTTAACAAGATGGGCCTTGTATTGCTCTGAGCTTGAGAGGCTCAGTGGGAAGCAGGATAAGTAGGTAAGGCTTCTGCTCCTCAGAGAGCTTGTTTCTAAACGTTGTCTTGTCTTTCTTTATAGTCCTTCAGTATGCTGTTTGACTATGGCGCTTACTATCTGTGTAGTTCCGGATGCATTGAAATTGGGAACAGAGCAAAGTATGTGTGAAGTAAATAAAAGTTTCTCTCTAAGGGAGTCAATAATGAGATGGCTCTTATTCTACCAGTTAGAGGATGATTTAGAAGTCAGCACAGAACCGCCCCCGATTCTTCAGAGGTAATGGTAATTTATTGGAATACTCCTGGATTCTCGTTTTGTCTGTACATGTCTATTTGTTTAATTTTATAAGGCTCACTCTACATATTTAATATCAGATAGTTTAATTTTATTATCATAGTGTAGAATTTCATGGAGTTATGTCTAAAATACTTAAGTTACCTGTATCTTTGTGCTTGATCATTTCTAAAATAAAAGATTACATCACTGTAGGATATGGGAGATGGTCATGAAGGATAGACACATAATTCTTGTTAAAAAATTTAGGATATTTATGAACATTCATAATTGTGGTATATTATTTAATATTTTGATACTTGCATACATTGTAAAATGTTTAAATAAGGGTAAACATACTATCTTTTTAAATAATTATAATTTATTTATTAAGAACACATTGAAAACTATGACTTGACTTATTTAGAAAATATACAGTAAATTATTATGATCACCCATTCCATAGTACGACATCAGAATGTCTTTCTCCCTTATAAATTATACCTGTTCTTTTTTTTTTTTTTTCTTTTTCTTTTTTGGCTTGTTTTTTTGAGACAGGGTCTCACCATGTAACTGGGTGGTTTGGATTGGAACTCAGTATATAGACGAAGCTGGCCTCTGGTAGGGATTCTCTTTCCTCTGCTTTCTCAGTGCTAGAATTAAAGGCAAGTGACCACACTTGGTCTGGGATATTTCTTTGTGACCTTCTGAGCAATTCCCTTATCTCGTTCTTATTCCATGATCAGAATGGGTGTTTTCTGGTGAAATTCATTAACTGAGTGATAAGAAAAACAAAGTAGAACTTAAGCCCTATTATGGGCCCTGGTTTACCTTTCCCTCAGAGGGTAGAACTTAGTTTATAATCTTTTATCTCAGAAATAGTATTGGGGGAAGGGGTGCTCGAAAAATAACTCAAGCAATTAAACAGCACATGGTTGTTCTTCCAGAGGACCAGGGTATGATTCTTAGCACTCATGTGCCTGCTCACGATTGTATGTAACTCCAGTCCCAGAAACTTATGCTGCCTGCTGGCCTAGTGGGCACCAGGCACACATGCACAGACATTGATGTGGGAAAAAACCCATACACATAAAAATAAGAATATTAAATGAAGAATTTTTAAAAATCCTACTTTTAAAATTATATATAGCTTATTTTTAGTAGTGCTGGAAACTATAGTAGTATTGTTCCAACCTCTTTAATAAATCTTTCAAATACTAAGAGATTTAGAACAGATGAAAGCATTTTTAGTTTGGGATCTGAGTTCTAGGGGGTCATAATTTGTAGCTTTAAACAAATGGATGATAAAGAATTTTTTTATAATATTTTAAGTAAAGTTTTTTTTTTTTTTTTTTTTTTTTTTTTTGTTTTTTTAGTAATTTTCCTCATCTTGTACTGGAGAAAATTCTTGTAAGTCTCACTATGAAAAATTCTCGAGCTGCAATGAAGTTTTTTCAAAGTGTGCCAGAATGGTATGTTATATAAGAAAATATGTGATGTTTTAAGATACAGTATTAACTAAATAGATAATTCTGACTGTGTGGAAGTTTATTACTAATTATGATCTAAGTTGATCTGATTAAAGAAAAAAAATTATAGTGGTATCTTATTTATGTTTTAATAAATAAAATTTGCCTGAAGATCAGAGAGCAGAGCAGCCAGAGGACCCAGGTTCAATTCTCAGCACCCACAGGGCAGCTAAAAATTGTCTATAACTCCAAGATCTGACACACCTTCATACAGACATATGTACAAGCAAAACGCCAATACACATAAAACAAAAATAAATTATTAAAAATAAGTACAAACCTAACAACCTGAGTGCAGTCCCTGGGACTGACATGCTAGAAGTTAGAACTGAACTGACTCTGGCTTCACACATATATCTGTGGCATGCATGTGCTACACACACACACAAACTCTCTCTCAACCTAACTAGCTAAGTGGATGGTGGGAAGGCAAAAAACAAAACAAAAACCCCAAAAAAATCTTGGTGAGAGTTGGATATAATGATCTCCTGTGGTCCCAACACTGAGACAGAGGCAAGAATATCTTGAAATCAGAAGTTAAGACCATCCTGAGCCGTGTAACTAGAATCAATCAACCCTAATTACAATTAAATTAGAAATATCTAAAACCTTGTTTTTAGTTGATTGATTTAAAGACTTAATTTTGTCATTGTGACTGAAAATAACTCAGTGATGTAAAGATACCCAGTCTCTCTCTCTCAAAGGCATTAAATAAAAGAAAAATCATACATTTTGGCAATAAAAAGAAGGCAATGTTTTTGGTGGTTACATTCAGTTATCTAGGGTTAATGTCTAAAGAGTTCTCTGAATTTGCCTTTTAAACTGTAGCTTCTATATTTTTGTGAGTAAAGTTTGCTACAGAATAATGACATTTTTCAGTGTGAATTTAATTTGCCCATAGAAGAGAAACATTTGGCAGAATAATTCATTGATTGTATGAGCAGTCTTTGAATGCTGCAAGTACTTTCTTGATTTTTTTAATATTTACTTATTTATTATGTATACAATATTCTGTCTGTGTATGTCTGCAAGCCAGAAGAGGACACCAGACCTCATAACAGATGGTTGTGAGCCACCATGTGGTTGCCGGGAATTGAACTCAGGACCTTTGGAAGAGCAGGCAATGCTCTTAACCACTGAGCCATCTCTCCAGCCCCTTTCTTGATGTTTTTACATGTGATATGTTGCAAATAAGTTGAAAAAGTGTTTGATGGTGGTTATTAATCAGTAATCTCTCCCTTGAAGTGAACGGCACTGCCAAGATAAAGAAGAGCCTTCGTTTTCAGATATAGAAGAACTATTTCTGCAGACAACTTTTGACAAGATGGATTTTTTAACCACTGCGAAAGAATGTGCTGTAGAAAAATTTCAATCTACTGTTGGCTTTTCTGTCCATCAAAATCTTAAGGAATCGTTGGATCATTATCTTCTGGAATTATCAGAAAGGCTTCTAAATAATTATTCATCTGAGGTAAGATTTATTTAAAAAATAGAATTGAGGTTATAGTAGTATATAATGTCTTTACTCTTTTGGGGGCCCGCCCCCTAGCTCCCAGATGAATCACACATGGAGTCTTATTCCTATTTAGAAATTCCTGGCCTTAGATTGGCTTGTTTTTTGACAAGCTTTCCTTAATTTAAATTATCCTGTCTACCTTTTGCCTCTGGACTTTTTCCATTCTCTTACTCGTTGATTGCTATGTAACTGGATGGCTGGCCCCACGTCCTTCTTCTCTGGCTACCTCTCCTTCCTCCCAGATTTCTCCTTCTAATTATACTCTTTGTCTGACAGCCCCACCTGTCCTTTCTTCTGCGTCTCTATTGGCTATTCAGCTCTTTAATAGACCAATCAGGTGTTTTAAACAATTACAGCTTCACAGAGTTAAACAAATGCAGCATAAACAAAAGCAACACCTGTCTCTGTCTCCTTTCATCGCCTGATGAAGGTTAATATTCAGGAGGATGCCTATATGGTTTTCTTTGGGTTCTCCTTCTTATTTAGCTTCTCTAAGAACACGAATTATAGGCTCAATGTCCTTTATTTATGGCTAGAAACCAAATATGAGTGAGTACATCCCATGTTCCTCTTTTTGGGTCTGGCTAACCTCACTCAGGATAGTGTTTTCTATTTCCATCCATTTGCCTGCAAACTTCAAGAAGTCCTTGTTTTTTACTGCTGAGTAGTACTCTAATATGTATATATTCCATACTTTCTTCATCCATTCTTCAATTGAAGGGCATCTAGGTTGTTTCCAGGTTCTGGCTATTACAAACAATGCTGCTATGAACATAGTAGAGCATATACTTTTGTTGTATGATAAGGCATCTCTTGGGTATATTCCCAAGAGTGGTATTGCTGGGTCCATGGGTAGGTTGATCCCGAATTTCCTGAGAAACCTCCACACTGCTCTCCAGAGTGGTTGCACAAGTTTGCATTCCCACCAGCAATGGATGAGTGTACCCCTTTCTCCACAACCTCTCCAGCAAAGGCTATCATTGTGTTTTTGATTTTAGCCATTCTGACAGGTGTAAGATGGTACCCACTTTGGTCTGGGACACAGCTTGTGACCAGGGATCCAGGGCTAGAATTGACCTTGACAAGGTAACAGGTTAAAAGTTCTCTTGCCCGAGATAAGAATGACTCCCATTTTAGTAAACAGGAACTTTCTTCAAGCCCTGGAGAAAATGGGGATTGTTGTCGAATTTCCTGACTTTGGGGAAAAGACATCAGCTTAAAGTGAGCGAAGCAAAGCTAGACAAATATTGCTGTGAACTTGAATAGATCTTAGGAATTTATAAATCTTGATTATCAAATATACCTTGTTTATCAAGCACATGTTACTTATCTAAGTTTTCTAGCAGGTGGTGTTAACTTGTGTGGGAGTAGGCAGAGTTAGAGCCCTATATGATTCCACGGTGGCAGGGATTTTTCCAAAGAATTTTGTAGAGTCTGCCATTTTATACATTTTCATCCTTCACCAAAGCCTTCACAGAATTTCCAAAGAGAATGGCAGCACAGTGAGAATCATGAAAAAGTAAAAGAAAAAGGGTGCTGGAGAACTGTGATTCACAAAGTTGAAACTTTGTCAAGCAGCAATAGTTGTCGTGTGGTCCACACCAATTTTTCTATGAATCTAGTTTTTGATCATGTTCAAAGTCTTGTTTTTTTTTTTTTTTTTTTTTTTTTCCACTCAGTATTGGGCATCAATCCTAGGCCCTGTGTTTGTTAGGCACGCAATCTTCCCCTGAGCAGCATGACCAGCTCTCTACTCATGTTCTAAGACACTTGTTTGCTTGCTGGACTGTTCTTTTTTCCTTCTTGTGTGTTGCTACTTTGGGAGGAGTAGGAGGAGATACACCTACCTGTCTTTAGGAGTAAATTAGACTATTTGTTTTGGAATATTGGTTATCATAACTCTAAGTCATCTTTAAGCTGATTTTAATGGCTACCCTGGAGCATTCCAGTTTTAACTCTGCTGAGTTCTTATTTCTTCATATATGCATGAACTTCTTTTTCAGAGGTAATTCCAAGTACACAGAACTATTTATATCTAATACTATACTTTTAAATTTCTGATTTAAGATTACAAGTTCAGAAACACTTGTCCGGTGTTCAAGTCTTTTGGTGGGCGTTCTTGGCTGCTATTGTTATTTGGGTATAATAATGGAAGAGGAAGCATATAAATCAGAATTGTTCCAGAAGGCCAAGGTAGGAAAATTTTTTTTAAAGTATTTATTTATTTATTTGTTTGTTATATATACAATATTCTGTCTGTGTGTATGTCTGCAGGTCAGAAGAGTGCACCAGACCTCATTACAGAGGTTGTGAGCCACCATGTGGTTGCCGGGAATTGAACTCAGGATCTTTGGAAGAGCAGGCAGTGCTCTTAACCACTGAGCCCTCTCTTCAGCCCCCGGAAAATTTATACTGATAAAGTTTTAGATGGATTTAAATGAATTCCTGGAAAAATTAGGGAAAATAAATTTTTGTGTTTGTTGAATGTTCCTAATCTGAAAAAATGGGAAATCTGAAACACTTTAGAACTAGAAAATTTGAGTCCCAGCACAACTACCATGATGAAAATTTCCACATCTGCCCTCATATGACAGGTCATACTCAAGATGCAGGCACAGGTTAGCATTGGATGTGTGTGAGATGTTGTCTTTAGTTTTCTGTTGCTGTGGTTAAAGACCATGGCCAAAAGCAACCTGGGGGAAGGTGATGGTGTTTGGCTTATACATCAAGATCATGGTCCAACATTGAAGATAATCAGGGCAGGAACCTTGAGGTGGGAACTGAAACAGATGCCATGGAGGAATACTATATATTGACTTGATCCCCCTGGTTCACTTTTATTTCCTGTCCAGGACTGTCTGTGGATGGCATTGTCCACAGTAGACTGGGCCTTCTACAGCAATGATCAGTCAAGAAAATGCTCCCACAAACTTGCCTATAGACTAATTTTCAATTAAGGTCCCCCTTCTCTTATGACTCTAGCTGTTGTCAAGTTGACAAAAAACTAACAAACACAGGGTTGATGAAACAAATGAGTTTTGTTTTTAGATTTGAGATCTATACCAAAGATATCTTGTTATATATATGTAAATATTCCAAATTCTGAAACATTTTTTGTTGTGTATATTTTAGATAAGAGGTGCTCTTTCACTTATACAGTCTAAAAAAATAGTGTTTTTCTTAAGATGTGTAGTTATTATAAGCCAGTAGTAAATAAATATGGTAAATGATCTTTATCACAATGTAACTTCATTACATTACTGATATTTATGATTGTTGTTGTTGTTAGTAGTAGTATTATTTTGAGGTAGGGTCCCTGACTGTCCTGGAACACAGAGTTCTTCCTTCTCAGTCTCCCAAGTTCTGGCATTAAAAATGTGCACCACCATGCCTGGCTATACACATTGATTTTGTCTGTACTCCTCAAATTTTTCCCCAAGATAATCAGTAGTGAAGAATTCTTGATTGGGCATATTAATCGAGTAGGTTCTAAGCTTAAAAACTACTTAATCTCTTGATACTAGTATGTCTTATCTGTGGTGGGATTTGCAAAGGGAGCAGGGTGTAAAATTCTGGTGAGTTTTTGTTCCTATTTTGTTTGTTGAGACAACCTCATTGTACAGTCCAACCTGCCTGGAACTAAAAGATCCAGTACCCTCTGAGCACTGGAATTATAGGTGTATTGCCACACATGACTTAAATTTGTCATTTTCTTTTTTGGGTGTTCCTCATTTGCAATCTTATTACATGGCCATGTGCATTTTTATTTTTTTATTTTTTATTTTTATTTTTTTGAGATAAGGTCTCAGATTTTAGCCCAGGGTGGCTTCATGATCTTTCTTAGTGCTGGGATCACAAGTCTCAGTCGCCACTCTCAGTTTATATATATTTATATTTAGCTTTGATTCTTAAATAAAATTTTAAAATAGCAATACTAAGTTGTTATTTGAACTGAAATTTGTCTTTTTTCCTCTATTCTAAATAGTCTCTAATGCAGTGTGCAGGAGAAAGTATCTCTCTATTTAAAAATAAGACAAATGAGGAATCTAGAATTGGTTCATTGAGAAACGTGGTACATCTGTGTACAAGTTGCTTGTGTAGGCATACCAAGGTAAGATCATCTTTTTGGTAGTATAATATATTCATATGGCTTATTATTTAGTGATTTTGAGGTTTTGGTTCATTTATAAGTTTATATATTGATCTGAAATTAAATTGAATGATAAAAATGTTCCAAAAATATTAGTTTATTATAAAACTTATTTTGTAACTTCATTTTCTTATTATATATAATACATATGTATATATATATAAAACTACGTAGATGAGTCTTTTATTGTTTAGCACATTTTCGTTAGTTGATTCATTGTTTACAAGTCTGCAATTTTTCATAACACTATAACAGGTGGTATAAGTGGTACAGAAATGAATAACACCACCTTAGGATGTACTCAGTCTGTAGAGTGCTCATAGAGATAAATGATATTAGTACAAATGTTTCTTTTACCCATATTATCTTAGGTAACATTTGGTAGAAAAAGTACAGCTGTGTGTAATCTTTGTTTTGATTTTTTCAGAAGCCTGTTGGGATAGCCATACGGATGTAGAATGTTGCAATTGGAGCTGTCTTTGAAAGCTAGTACATAAGCAACCTAATGTTCATAGCATATAGTTTCAATTTTCTAATATGCTTTCTTGTATTTTTGTATAAGTGTAGAAGGCATGAAGTGAAATAGGGAGCCTCACAGACAGTTGCTTACTATGTTTAGTATCAGTAGCTGATATGTTAATGATGCATCAACACAAAGACATTTACTTCATTTATTATTTCCTTAAGGAGATTAGACTGTAGTTGCTATTCTGGTTACTTTATAGTTCATTGCCTTCTTGAAATAGACTCAATAAGTCCTTGTTCTTAAGAAAAAAGAAAGAAAGATGATAATGTACCTCAACGTACAATTTGGCCTCAGTTCTGGACTCTTTATCTACATTTAATTCATGATAGAGAAAATACTATAAACAACAGTCTGTATTTGTTTTATGTTTTATTGCTTGGATCTTTGTTTAAATTACAGCGTAATCCACACAAGATTGTATCTGGCTTTTTCCTACGATTGTTAACTTCAAAGCTTGTGAATGACATTGCAGATATTTGTGAAAGTTTAGTAAGTATGAATCTTTTTTTACTAATAAATTTCATTGATTCTGAGATGCAATTAAAATTATATATACATATATGTGTGAGAGAGAAGGATGGAGGACGAGCAAGCACAAGCAAGCCGGCACTGTGTACCATGGTGTATGTGGAAGTCAGAGGACAATTCTTGGGAATGGATTCTTGTCTGTCACTTTCTGTGATCCAGTGACCGATTTGCATGCAAAAGCCTCTTCCACTGACCCATTTTGCTGGCCCTAAATTGCAAATTTTTATTATAATGAATAGATAGTATCTCCTCGTATATAGTATCTTGGACTTTTTTAAAAAATAAATGTAGCCTTTAATAAACTTACTGCATTAAGAGGACATGTATTTGATTTTTTCTTAATATCAGTATCTGGCAGAGTAGTTTTGTTGCTTGTTATTGCTATATTGACTGATAGATTCAATTTATTGTATGAGATATATTCTCACCATATAGCTTGGCTAGCCTAGAACTTGCTGTGCAGACCAGGTTGGTCTTGAACTCCCAGAGGTCTGCCTCTGCCTCCCCAGTGCTGGGATTAAAAGTGTGCGCCATGTCTAGCCAATTCATTAAGAATCAAACAACTCCCAAAGTAGAGGAAAACACCTTGTCTTCTAGGGAACTTGTTCTTACTGTGGTGTTTAAACTTCATTTCTATCACATTGGGCTTTTGTTATATATGCTCACTAACAGTGCCTGAAAAAACTTTAATTGCTTACTGAGTAAAAAACCACTCTGTAACTTTATTATTTGTATTTAATGACAAATTGTTTTTCTTTTTGCTATACTTACCTGTGCGGTACATACTGCTGTGCTTTATGCGGCAGTTATGGTATTCCTTAGCTTAGGAATAGTGTGTGTATATCACTGTCAAATAATACATTTTTTTAAAAAATCCACCTGCTTTTACTTTTTTGGTTTTTTTCCTGTCTATCTGTTTTAGAGTGCATCTTGCTAGGATATCCCTGGCTAGCCTGTTACTGACTACATACCCCAGTTTGGTCTTGAGTTTTTGACAGTCATCCTATGTCACGTTCACCCTCGACCCGCAAGGAAGACGCATGACACACTGGAGCTCTTCTCACTGCAGTTTATTCCAGGACTTTATTCACTTTCTCTCTCTCCTCCCCTCTCTCTCTCCCTCTCTCTTTCCCTCTCTCCGGGCAAACCTCTCCCAGCCCTTATGTAGGCATGGGCTGCCAATCCCGGATTGCCAGGTGGGCATTGCCCATAGGTCCACGCATATGCAAGCAGCTGATAATCATTGTGTGATAATAACATAAGTCAGACTTTAGCCATAGGAGTTAATTATACATCTCCATCAGGTGTGGCTTCACACAGCTCACTACAATCCTACCTAAGCCTTGTAAGCAATCTGCTTAGGGACCATATCCTTATGTCTTCCATACTCACCTGCTCTCACTTAACATTTCAGGTCATTTTCCCCTTTTAACCATAAGTTCTGCCACAGAGACTTCTGCGTTTCTGTTTTGTCTTCTGATATTTGTGCACTTGAAAGGATGCAAGGAAGGAACTGTATTGTTCAAAGTAATGTGCGGATTTTAGGGAGTGTATGTGTGTGTTGGTTATGGTAAGATCTTAATTGTGTTGCCCGGGCTCCCCTAGAACTCTAGGCTCAAATGATATTCCTTTGTTTCAGGTATCCAAAGAGGTGGGACTACAGGCACATGCTTCCATGACCTTTAATTTTCATTTCGATGGATATTACTATTGTCCAACAAAACAGTCCTAATAGTTGATACCTATTCTGTGCTTTCATCAATTTCTGGTGTTAAATTTTAAAAGTTTTATTAAATGTTGCCAAGTATAGTTTTTGTTTGTAAGGGTTCAGAGTGGTGCTCGAATGTTTAAATACAATATGGAATGACTGCTAGACTCTTGTATTACATTTATTTATTTATGCTGTGTGTGGGCACGTGTGTCACAACATTTCTGGGAGTCTATTCTCTCTTAACATGTGTATCCCAGGGATTCAACTAAGGTCATCAGGCATGACAGCAAGTACCTTTATCCCATGAGCCTTCTTGCTGGCCCATGGTAATTTTTTATATAAGAATTTATTTCTAAAATCTTGTTATTACCATATTATCTAAACAGATTACAGTTTATATATTCACTTCCTACAATATGATGGATTAGGGTGTTTCTGAAAGACGCTGAAAACCGCATCTTTGTTTCTTCTTTCTAAAGGCATCCTGTATGAAAAAGCCATTTGATTATGGAGAGGTAAATTCCATGAAAGATGCTGCTGATGAAAATCTGATAGAGGCACAGAGTCCATCATCCTCAAGTCTGTTTAGTGGTTACCCTGCTAGTACTGTGAGCGATGCAAATGATTCTGGAGAGAACCAGAGTACTGTTGGTAAGTAAGTGTTTACTGCTTGGGGTTTCTTTTACCACTTTATATGAATTTGTCACTGTAAAGGACCTCACTGAAAAGAACTTTAATTATAATTTCATTCCCCTGAGGTATTGTCTACTTGGATTGTTCTTTTTCTATACATTATTTTTTTTTTTTCTGGAGACAAGAGTTTTGCTATGTAGTCCTGTCCTAGAACTCATTATATAGACCAGGGTGGTCTACAAACTCAAAATAATCCACCTGAGTCTGCCTCCCAAGTGCTAAGATTAAAAGTGTGTGCCACTGTGCCTGCGCACTTAAAATATATATTATTGTTGATATTATTTTCTGTGTTCACGTGTGTTAATGTGGTCACACAGGGAGGTTGAAGGACAATGTTCCAGAAGTCAGTTCTCTCCTTCCACTGTGTGCTCTGCGTTCTGGGTTTTAAACTCAGTTTTGTTGGCTATATGTAAACCCTTTTACTTGCTGGGTCAACTTCACTGGCCCTCTGTACTGTACATTTTAAATTACTCTCATTTTAAAAATCAAATTTTTTAGTTTCTTACTTTATTGTTCATAGAAAAATTTCAAATAGTTTAAACAAAAACTACATGATATATCATTTCAACTGTGAAAGCAGGAGGATGTTTTAGGTCATATCAGTATCAGTCTACTGTGCCCTGTCTGTGTTAATGAGTGCCTTTTGTTTTTAGGTGCCATGAGTCTTTTAGCTGCTGATTATCTGTCAAAACAAGATCATCTTCTTTTAGACATGCTCAGGTTCTTGTGCTTGTGTGTAACCGCATCTCAGAGCAATACAGTGTCTTTTAGAGCAACTGATATTAGAAGAAAGTTGTTAATGCTACTTGATTCTAGCACACTAGACCTTACTAAATCCATCCACCTACAGATGGTGAGTAAAGTGGAAGAAGCTTTTTGATTTTTTTTTTATGGTGTTACCAAAAATGTAATAGTTGGATATGTAAGAGTGGTACAGTAACTTTGAAGACTTGTTTTTTTGAAAGATGAATCTGAGACTAGTTATAAAATATATTCTGCATGTGTGTGTATATGTGTTTCCCAGATTGAGCAGAAGCAGTCCTATTGAATAAGTGGGGTAACAGGTATATGTTATCACGCCTGGTTCTCTCATTTTTCTCTTTTAGCATGCTATGAAAATAATTGAAGTTGAGGCTGAAACGTTGAAACTTGGATATATTTTGAATATTATTCCTTATAATTATTATGTATTATTATACACTGGAACAGGAAACATCTTTAAGACAGGTTCTCACTGTGTAGCCCAGGCTGTCCTGTGCTACAGTCTTTCTTCCAAGTGCGGAGATTATGAGTGTAATCAGCAGTCAGTAAAACAGGTCTTGATTGTAAAAATAATTCATGACATGGAATTTGAGATCTGAGTGTGCTTTCAAACTAATGCTACTAATATATGCCTTCAATTTAAATTCATGACTTTGTGGCTTAATCTCCCCCCCCCCAAATTTGTAGTAGCTCCTTTGTTTGTCTTTATAAGAAAAAATGAAAACTCTACCTTTTCACAAATAAGTAATGAATTTATTTACTCAGTAACTGTCTATGGAACTAATTTCTTCTTATCATGTGGAATATGTCCTTACCTTATTTCCAGTAAGCAGTTGGTAATAGCTCTTGAGCCATTGAGTATCTTCTGTATAGATTATAGACTTGGTTTGGTAACTAGTAGACATACCTGGTGAATTCCTAACTGTGTAATGGAATCCCTTGTCATGGGATTAGGCTGAACAGGCATTCCCTGATTGAAATGGGTTTCATTGTATTTTGTTGGGACCCTTGGTTTCATTCCTCACAAATACTCTAGTATAAAGTTTTACCCCTGACTTGTGGGAAGGGTTATATGCTTGTCTTGAAGCTTTGATGTTTAAAATCATTCCACATTCTCAGTAACATTATATATGACTCCCAAGTTAGGTATTAAAGAGGGTTTTAACAAATTCTTTATTAACATATAAGAAATATCTCTTAGGATTTTTTTGTTGTAACTAGAAAGTTACTTAGCACCTCTGAGAAATTGATTGCTTATTTTTAACTACCATTATAAATGTTACTTATAACAGCTCCGTGTGTGTGTGTGTGTGTGTGTGTGTGTGTGTGTGTGTGTGTGTAGTAACACAGTTACAAAGTTGCCATGGTTAAGTAGGTAGGTTAGGATATTTTACTTCTCAGGATTATCTTTGCTTCCCAGAACTTAGTAGTTTTTCACCATTGAATTTTAGCATTATTCTGAGAGTATAGAGACATAGTAGTTTCAGATTCTTTATCTTTTAATTGAAGTGGTGACAGTGATGATCATTTATTGAATTCCAGCAATAGAAGTTACTGTTTCTACTCCTTTGTTACCTGACCAAATAATTGATATATCCCCATTTTATAGGCGAGAGTGTGGGTTCTCCATGGCATACAGTCAGGATTCTTAATCATTTAAGTTAAAGCTGTTGTGCTGAAATTTGAATTAAGTCTTTGATTTTAAAGATATATGCTGTGTTTAGAAATGCTCTGTGATGTTTATATGTGCTTAAAAGTGAGTGATCTATGGGTAAAGCTAGCTTTTTCTTTTTTTTAACTACTTTAGTACTTAGTGCTTCTGAAGGATCTTCCTGGAAGAGAGCATTCATTGCCAATGGAAGATGTTGCTGAACTTCTGAAACCATTATCGTAAGAAATGAAAGCCATGTTACATTATGCTCACTTTAAATTATAAGCTAACTGACATGTTCTTGTAAGCTTATAACAAAAACCTTTTCTACCACAGCCTTGCATGTTCTCTGCATCGTCGCGACCAAGATGTTTGTCGAACAATTTTAAGCCATGTCCATCATATAGTGACAAACCTAAGTCAAGGCAGTGTGGACACTGAGGGCACAAGGAATGCTCGGGGACAGTTCCTGACAGTGATTGGGGCGTTTTGGTAAGCATAAGTCTCTTTCTTCACCTCGGGATGCAGATGTAAACTCTGTACTTCAGTGATTCTTTTTCCTGAGTATCTTGTGTAACTTTCTGCATATTTAACAATAGTATAACATAATCTGTCTTCATTTCTTTAATGTGCATGTCAGTGAATATTGTTTACATGGGGGTGGGTACATGTGTGTCACTGTAGTCTATGACAGTCAAAGAACAACTTGGGGTGTCAGTCCTCACTTTCTACCTGTTTAAAGCAGGTACTATGTTCACCGCTGCCCATACCAGGATGCCAGACCCACACATTCCTCCTTTTCTGTTTCTCATCTTGCTGTATGCATGCTGAGATTACATGTGGATGCTACTGCATCTTACTTTACATGAGCTCTGGAGATCTAGATTCTGATATTCACATGTTCACACTTACATGGTACATACTTCAGCTATAGAGCCCTTTGCCCAGCTCTGGCTTCCAGTTCCTAACTGAAAAGCTACACTGGTTTTTATAAAGTTTTGTGTTCTAAAGTGTTTAGCATATGGCTCTGTCAATTTTGAATCATACATAACTTGACATGGATGGTGCATAAAAAGTGCAGCAATCCTAAACCAACTGAAATGTTGGTGATCCAAATGAACCCATTGGCCTTGTCACTGTTTATTTTATTCATAGGCTCACAGTAACAGTTGTAAACATCTTTGTAACACTTTATTTAATGTGTGGGGAAGTCTGAGCACAGCCATGGTGCACATGGTCAGGTTAGAGAGCAACTGTGTGGGTCCCAGGGATCAAACTCAGGCCCAGCAATAACATATTTGTTACTTATAGGAGATCACATACATTTCACTTAGATGCCTCATTCTGTTAGAATAGTAAAGAATTCTAAATCAATATAGAGCATAGATTTCTAAATATATGTTATAATGACAAAAACCTAAAGGATATTCTGTTCATATTCAGTTTGCTATAGTATGGCTACCTGAAGTATGTCAGTTCCAAGATATAAAACAAGTGTACATTAGAATGATTTTCTCTTTATTTAGCTTGAATTTTAGGGAAGATAAATATACTGGCATGCTGGCATGTTTCTTATAATGAGAATTATTTATTTGCGGTTTTGTGGGTTGTTGTTTTTTTTCTTTTTGTATTTTCGAGACAGGGTTTCTCTGTGTAACAGTCCTAGCTGTCCTGGAACTAGATTTGTAGACCAGACTGGCCTTGACAATTAATTTAAAGTAGAATTTTTTGAAATTATCTATGATATTGTTAATATTTATTGATTTTTTTTTTCTGTTTTTGCTTTTGTTTGAATAATTATTACACTGAAAGTCTTATCTGATTTCAGGCACCTAACAAAGGAGAAGAAATGTATATTCTCTGTAAGAATGGCATTAGTAAAGTGTCTTCAAGCTCTCCTTGAGGTGGGTTACTCCATGTTACTAGAAAGTTCTTCGTTGGAATGATCGAGGCCACCTTTCTTTCTGTGTGCTAATGCGTGATTTTTCTCTTAATATTTTGCATTTAACTTTGATTGCTATTTTACTATAGGCTGATCCATATTCCAAATGGGCAATCCTTGATGTAAGGGGACAAGACTTGCCTGTAAATGAAGTATTTCCACAGTTTCTTGCTGATGATCATCACCAAGTTCGGATGTTGGCTGCAGGGTCAATCAACAGGTAATGAGTTACGCTTTCACAAAGCTCTTGTAGTGCTGATAGCAGCAGCACCTTCACTAGCTGCAGTGTTAACAGCAACGTCCACTTAATCAGTGTATGCATGTGCCTGGGAATTGTGTTTTTTATTTAATCTGACAGTTCTGTCACTTATATAACATTATTGTCTCCAATTTATAATTGAAAACTGGCGTAGAGAGTTAACTGGCTTGGTGCTATGGAACTTATGCGCCATTGGTTTGAATGAGAAGTATCTGCTAGCACACAGAAGGTGTAGAATATTTGACTATTAATGGCTTTATGTGAGTCAGTAGTCTCTTCATTTTGTATGATGCTGATATGATTTCTGTTTTTAGCCTAAAATAATATTTGGCTATGGTGGCTTTTCATTGACAATTGGTGAAATGAATATATTTGAAAAAGAAATTCTGTGCTACTTTAAAAACATCAAAGCTGAGCCGAGCAGTGGTGGCGCATGCCTTTAATCCCAGCAATCGGGAGACAGAGGCAGGCAGATGTCTATGAGTTCGAGGCCAGCCTAGTCTACAAGAGTTATTTCCAGGACAGACTCCAAAGCTACAGAGAAACCCTGTCTTGAAAGACAATAATAATAATAATAGTAAAATAAAAATTTTAAAAAGCTGAAAATTGCATATTTTTCAGATCTAAATGACCAATAAAAGAAGCTTGCCATAAAGAAATTATCCAAGCAGGCACATACTCTATGGCAGTGGGTCTCAACCTGCGGGTTGTGACTCTTTGGGATGGTAGAGCGACCCTTTCACAAGGGTCATTAAGACCATCAAAAAACACAGATGTTTATATTACGATTCATAACAATATAAAAATTATAGTTATGAAGTAGCAATGGAAATAATTTTATGGTTGGGGGTCACCATAACTTGAGGAAGTATATTAAAGGGTTGTAGCATTTAGGAAGGTTGAGAGCCACTGCTCTATGATGTTAGAACAAATGTGTCCAAATTTTGAGTCTGTGACAGTGATGTTTCCATGAGCCAGGTGTTGTTCCTTTTTCCTCATTTATTTTAGTAAGAAAATAGTGCATTGTCAAGATTGCTCGTGGTTATGTGTGGGAGTTCAACTTACTGAACTGAAGTTTAAATTATCAGGTCATAGAAGATCATAAGTTGAGTGCAATAACTCAGTGAAGTAATATCACGGTGTGGTGGGGGGAATCTAAGTTTTCAAGAAAGATAAGTAGACTTGTTATATTTTGTTTTTTCTTTGATTTTTTTAGATATTTAATGTTGGGCTGTTTCAAGAGAGGCTAGCAAAATAAAGGAATCAGAAATAACAAATTTCTAAGAAATATCAAGACTAAAATTCATTACAGTTGCCTTAAAATATGTGGTTCTTATGTAAGAGACATTGATAACCTCTACATCAAATATAATGTTAACTTAATATCCAAGTATTAAGCTACTCATTTTGGGGATGATTAAACATTAGAAAAGATTGAGAAATAAGTTTGTAGACTCTTATGATTCATGTTTGACAATCTTTCTGACAGCTTGGCTTTGATGTTCAAATCTGACCAGTAGTTAAAGAACTTTGAAATCTTTTGTATCTAGAAAAATTGGCTTATAGATTAAAGACCTTAACATTTCGCAGATGGTCTGAACTGCTGAAGTAGCCTTTCAAAGGAAGAGCTTTAGAGTGGTTTATTTGTATTCTAGAATATGCTTTGATATGTAGGGTTTGAAATAAATAGATTTTGTTTGTTTTTAAAGATTATTCCAGGATATGAGACATGGAGATTCCTCTGGATGGTCGAAAGCACTGCTTTTGAAGTTTCAGCAAACAGCTTTTAAAAATGCATACCTGAAAGCAGAGGCAGGAATAAGAGACGTGGTAACTAAAGTAAGTTGTCTGTGCTCTGCACTCACATGCGGTCTGTCAGTGTTACATGTTCTTAGCACATTTTGGATGAGAGTTTGCGTTTAGTAGTTAACACTATAAAGCTGGTCTAAGTCAAGTGTATGGACCGGATAAAATTTTCCTGAATGAAATTTATAGGTCAGAATAAGTCAATAATAGCAATTATTTTTGCTTCAACTAATCTAATTATTGTGAGGCGAATCCAATTTTAATGGGGATTTCAATATAAAAGAGAGATTAAAAGGCCTTTTTAGTTTAAGAAATCTTTAAAGCCAAAAAGAAAAATCCAAAACACACCAGAAAATGCTGTATATGACGGTGTGTGCCTATGATCTTACTATTCAATGACAGTTAAATTTGAGAGCTCCCTGGATTGCAGAGTGAGTACACCTAGCCAGAAAATGCAGATAGGGGCTGGAGAGAAGGCTCTCAATTAAAAATATTGGCTGTTCTCAGAGGACCTGAGTTTGATTCCCAGCACCCACATGGCATCTGTAACTCCAGTTGCAGGGTATCAGCCACCCTTTTCTGATCTCTGTAGGCACTGTACTTAGACATCCATGTGGACAAAACACCCACACACATAAAAATTAAAAATAAATTTAAAAACTGAAGATGGGTGCCTGTTGGGAATTTTAAAAAAAGTAATTGATGGCTAAGCTGAAAGCATGTTGTTCTGTCCGCAAGGCTTTCCTTTACTAATATAGACAGATGACAGTGATTTTTAAAGAAGAAAACATAAAAAGTCTTAGGAGTAGCACCTTGTAGTGGAAGAACTCTTAAAACTTCTCATTCTCCTTTTGCTGTTTGTTCTTTAGATAACTTAATACCATGTAAAAATGTTTTTTCGTTGGTAATTGTTTCCCTTAGATCTTAGGAAGTGGCAGCTTTTCTTAACTATAGAAAAGCTTGTTTCTCATGTCTTTCCTTTTAGCTCATTACTATAAGATTTAAAAGTTTGCAGGTTACTTAGAGATTAGAGAATACTTTAGCTTGTTTGCTTGATTTATCAATTTCATTATTTATGTCATTCTTATAATTTTCTTAAGTCATGTGATACTCAGAACCCTGATCTTCTGGATGAGATTCACAATAGAAAATCTGTTTTACTGGTGGTGATAGCTGTGGTCTTGCACTGTAGCCCTGTGTGCGAAAAACAGGCTCTTTTTGCCTTATGCAAATCTGTGAAGGAAAATGGATTAGAACCTCATCTGGTGAAAAAGGTATGATGAATATTTTCACATTGTTTTTATATGGCATTTGATGCTTAGAAACAATTTCTTTTTTGGACTGGGAATATTAGAAACAAATTTGATTGTGTGTGCACATACATGTGTAGGGGGTGCATTTTTTCCACTGCTGGCGCTTGGATCCAGAGCCTTGTACTTAGTAAGTAAGCACTGTACTACCAAACTATTGTCTTTTCCCCAGCCAAATTTATTAATTCTTTAAGCGGTATATTTGTTTTCAGTGTTTCTTCTTAGTTTTATAAAACACTCATTGAGAACTAGCAAAATTTAGTGGTTGTGTCCACACAGACCAGTTCCTCTAGAATACTGTTTATTGATGGAAACACTTGGAGATTTTTGCTTGCTTATGCCTCAGATTGTGGAGCAGCAAACTGGAATTTAATAAGTTGAGGACAATGTGGCTTTAGGTTAGATTTTGAAAAGAGGCCTGGGCTCAGTCATTGCAAGCATAACATCCCATTTGTAGACCGTGGTAGCTCTCCCTGTTCTTCCACTCCAAGCTCATATTTGAGACCCTCTACAAGTTCTTGTTGCAGGTTTAATGTGGTAAATATGGACTGATGGGCAGTTAACTTTGTACCAGCATGGCTTCCATGAAGCTTTATTGTAGGTCATTGTCTAGGGAACTGGTCTTAAATGAATTAACCTTTTACTTTTGTTATTAAAGTGAGTGACATGGTTTTGGATTTTTAGAAATTTAAATGTAAGGATGAAAATATTTAAATTTCCCTTAGACTTTTCTTTGAGATATAGTCAGCTATATAAAATTATGCTATTATTTATTTAATGTCTATTCTGGGTTTTCTATGTGCTCTGGATGCTGCTTTAGCAAATGTATAGTAAGCAACATTTTCCATTTTCTCATTTATTACTACCCCTGTGTCATTGATAAAGAAGTCAAGGTAGAAAAATATTAAGTGACTGCTACAAATACAGTTTAAATACTAGCAAGCTGAGATAATGATTGTTTCATTTCCTTAAACATCACATTTTCCTTTTGTGCAGGTTTTAGAGAAAGTCTCCGAATCTTTTGGGTGCAGAAGTTTAGAAGACTTTATGACTTCTCATCTAGATTATCTGGTTTCGGAATGGCTGAACATTCAAGATACTGAATACAACTTATCTTCCTTTCCTTTTATTTTATTAAATTACACAAGTATTGAGGATTTCTATAGGTAGGTTTATATATATATATTGTTTGCAGTAGTGTTTGACAACCCTCCTCCCACCTCTCACATCCATATCTACAGGTAGGGAGATTGTATCAAAGGATGTATGTATGCTTTTAGTTCAAAAACTTAGGATTTGTTGGTAGCAATATTAGTAATCAGTTGTGTGTCCTTGAGTAAGCTGTAGTAATATCTTATGTGCCTCGATTTACACATATAAGATATGTTTATATGCTATCTTATTTATCTTGAATTGTACATAATATCTTATGTATCTCAATTTACTTTTGAAAATAATCAAAGGTAAACTACTAGTGGGGTAATTATTTCCTTTTCTTTCCTATTGCTTGATAGTGAATCATTTAATCATTATTTCTATAAATTTTCAAAGCTTATCAAAAACTGCTGAGATGTAGCTCAGTTGGTATAGTGCTTGCCTAGCATGCTCAAAGTCCTAGATTCAACACTGGCTACATAAACCAGGCATAGTGGTACATACTTATAATCTGAACACTCAGAAGGTAGATAGATGAAGGAAGCTCAGTAGTTCAAGGTCATTTTCAGCTACATAAGGAGTTCAAAGCCAGCCTGTACTACAGAGGATCCTGTATTTTTTTTTAAAAAAATGTTTTTTGATAGATGTACATTTGATTGTTTTTATCATCCATTAAAATTTGCGATAACTTTCATATTTGTTCTTTGAATTTATAAATTGTATTACCATTGGCCTTACATTAAGTATTGATTGATATTACCATTACCATTGCCATAATCAAGCATCAAGTTGATTATGGGTAAAAAATAAAAAGTTCTTTAGCTGGATATAGTGGTGTATACCGTGTGTCTATAGTTCCTGAACTCGAGAGGTAGAGGCAGGAGGATTGCCACAATTTACAGGTCAACATGGTGTGTATATAAGTATAGTCCAGGCTAACCTGGGCTGTGGAGTGCTATCATCTCAGAAAAAGCGAGGGAGAATAGAAGTTGTACTTTTTTTGTGTGTGTTGTTATTTATATTTTTCTTATCTTTAATTTCTCCATTTATAAAATGAGGATACGAGTATTTAATGATCTAGGGGCTGGAGCAATGGCTCAGCAGTTAAGAGCGCTGACTTCTCTTCTAGAGGACCCAGGTTCAATTCCCAGCACCCATATGGTAGCTCGCAATTTTCTGTAACTTCTTTTCCAAGGGATCCATTGCCCTTTTTGTTCCAAGGGATCCAATGCCCTCTTCTAGCCTCCATAGGCACCAGGCAGAACACCTGCATATGTAAAATTTTAAATAAATAAATAATTTAAAATGTAAAAATAAGTTTGTTTGTTTATTATTCATTTCTTGGGACAGGATTTCTCTGTGTAGGTTTGGAGCCTGTTCTGGAACTCAATCTGTAGACTAGGCTAGCCTCGAACTCACAGAGATCCGCCTGTCTCTGCCTCTTGAGTGCTGGGATTAAAGGCATGCGACATCACTGACCAGCATATTTTGTTATTTTAATGTAAAATTTTACTTTGAAAACATTTGTAACCTAAATTTTAAACTTACACATTTTCAGATCTTGTTACAAGGTTTTGATTCCACATTTGGTGATTAGAAGTGAATTTGATGAGGTGAAGTCCATTGCTAATCAGATTCAGAAATGCTGGAAAAGTCTGTTGATAGACTGCTTTCCAAAGATTCTTGTACACATTCTTCCTTACTTTGCCTGTGAGGGCACAGGAGACAGCAGCGTAATACAGAAGAGAGAGACTGCTACCAAAGTCTATGATATACTTAAAGGTGAAGACCTACTAGGAAAACAGGTATGGCTTCACTTTTTATCTGCTCTTATCCCCTTACTGATAAAAGATGTAAGCTTTAAAGTCTAAGGTTATCAGACTTGGGGTGATGACTTGGTAATGTGTTTGCTGTGTAAATATGGCTACCTGAGTTCATAGCCCTACATCCATGTAACAGCTTGCCTTGGCTGGCAGCTCAGACATGTAACCCCAGAGCCAGGGATCTTAAATGCTTGCTGGCATTCCTAGAGAATTTCTGCCCTTCGTGAACCTGCCTGTAGCAGAAGCAGATTGGTGAGAAATTTACTTTTTTCACAGTCATTATTTTAGCAGCTGTTGATGAAAAGTGATACTGTCACCAGATACGGAAGAAGAGTACAGGGCATCTTGGGCTCACAAAGGTTTCTTAATAGTTAAGATTATTAAAGAGTTAGCAGATGAATAAAAAGTAAAATGCAAATCGAGGAACAGTGTAAGTTATGGAACTTTGCTAGCTTGAGAACTTCCAGTTTTAGAAATTTAATGTGAAATCCAAATTCTGTTAAAATGATTCTGTATGATACAAGGGTTGAAGTAAGGAGAGTTGGTTTGCTGTGATTTCCTTATCCTCATCTTGGTCTATGGATTGGCTGTGTAGAAGAAAATATAGAGGTTTTCTTTGCAGAACTTGGGCTTGGTTATCTTTTTTTATAGTTATGAAGTAAGGAATTAATACAGACCCTTAGTGCTGTTGTAAAAATCACAGATATAAAAATGTTTAATATATTTTAATTTTCTGTCCTTACAGATTGATCAAGTATTCATTAGTAATTTACCAGAGATTGTGGTGGAGTTACTGATGACATTCCATGAAACAGCTGATTCTGATGCCAGTCAAAGCACTGACCTTGCTGACTTTTCAGGGTAAGCCTGTTCCATAGAAAGGTCGCATATGTAATGTAAGAGTCACCTGTCTCCTTCACTGCAGCCTTCCTGCTATACTTTCTTTTTCTAGCTGCCTTTTTGGGGAAACACAGTCTTTTCACTCTTCCCTTGGTATTTAAGCATTGAGTTACATAATTCCTTTTGTGACTTTTTCTTGATGTGTTTTATTACTGATTCCCTTAGCCCTGTCTTGCCGTTTTCTCGGCCTCCTTTCTTTGTGGTGCTCTTTAGCTGTCCAGTTTAACTCAGATGTGAAATCAGTTGGTTGTATATGAATATTAGAGTGACTTTTTTGGCTTGATTGTAAGCTACTTGGAAATTCTCAATTTTAAAAATAAATTAAAATACTATTTTTTTGCATATGGATGTTTTGCCTGCATGAATATCAATACATCACGTGCATGTTATGCCCATAGAGGCTGTAAAGGGGGCATTAGTACACCCCCTACACCCCACACCTCTCGGAGTTGTAGCTGTAAGCCACCAAGTAGGTGTTAGGAATTGAACCTGGGTCCTCTGGAAAAGCAGTCAGTGCTCTTAGCTGCTGAGCCATCTCTCCAGTCCCCAAAATATGTTGTTTGTGTTTTGTTTTTGTTAGAAAGGGACAGTGATGGCTGTCCTAAAACTCTCTCTGTAGAACACACTGGCCTCAAGCTCAAGGATCTGCCTGCCTCTGCCTCCCAGTGCTGGGATTAAAGGTTGCACCATTGTGCCCAGCTGAAAATACTCAATTTTTACAAAAGCTTACTGTGCTAAGCATATAAATTAGTATTAATGCTGGGAAAGAAGTTAGAGTTTATAATTGCATTCTAAATAATGTTACTAATCTAATGTGTCACCTGGTTTAAGATACTATTGGTCTTGCAATACTCTAATATAGAGTTGTAAATCAGACCTGAAGGGAAGTTTTGCTAAGGCTTGATTCCGGGGCTGCCATTAACATCATAAAAGGTTAAATAAACCAATTGTTTTAAACAAATCCATCTGAAGTTAAGTCTGATTCATGTATGAACTTTGTTTTACTGTTTGTGATTTTAAAATATATTGTTTCAGTAAGAAGCTAGTTTTGTAACTTGGGAGTTATTTAAAGCTCCATTTTAGAAGTTCACTCTTCTAATTTTGTTTTTAAAATACCTACACTTTAAAAAATAAATAAATAAAATAAAATACCTACATTTTTTCCTCTTTAGAGATTTGGATCCTGCTCCTAATCCACCATATTTTCCATCACATGTTATTAAAGCAACATTTGCCTACATCAGCAACTGTCATAAAACCAAGTTTAAAAGCATTTTAGAAATTCTTTCTAAAATTCCTGTAAGTACATGTTACATTATTAGTATAATAATTGATAAGAAAAGTCCTTTTTAGCTAGAAAATCTAAATATATCTGGGGAATAATAAGCATGAAAACTTACTTGACTAATTTAAAAAAGGAAAACACTTGATTTACAAGTTGTATTTTAGTATGTTAGTTATTGTTAATTAAATGTATCAGGCCAGGATTTCATGACCCTGCCTTATTAATTATCTCAGGGAATATGTTTACTGTTTCATAATAATCTATTAAGTTTCAGTTTACTTTCTAAAAACGCATATAGCAACTTTTTAAACAGTGAAATACTCTTAACAATTTTAATATGATATTTTGCATGTGCTGTCAAGCCCATATCTAAATGGTCATTTAGTAAACTAAACTATATTGGTTGTAGCTGAATATATTTGATTTAAAAAAATTTTTTCTATATGTATATCTATTTTGTAGGATTCCTATCAGAAAATTCTTCTGGCCATTTGTGAACAAGCAAATGAGACAAATAATGTCTATAAAAAGCACAGAATTCTTAAAATATATCAATTGTTTGTTAGTTTATTACTGAAAGATATAAAAAGCAGCTTGGGAGGTGCTTGGGCCTTTGTTCTTCGAGATGTTATTTACACATTGATTCACTATATCAATAAAAGGTAAGTAATAGATTGGACTGATGCATTAGCAGTATTTTTTGTGTGCTGGTCTTTCATGTGTGCAAGCGTGTGCATGTTGGACGTGAGTGCAAGTAGAGTTGAAGTTGACATCAGGCATCTTTCTTAATTGTTTTTCACCTGCTTCGTTGTGTCATGATCACTTAGTGGAACCAAAGCACACCAGTGTGGCTGGTCTGTCTAGCCAGCTTGCTCTGAGGATACCTCTCTGTTTCCTGCATCCTGGGATTGTAGGTGAACACTGTGCTCTTTCATTGGTCTCTGTGTACATTTTCATGGTAATCTCATTCTATTTTTGCCTATGTCATTGTCATCAAAAGTAGTCTAATACGTTTGCTTTGTTCTTTTTACTCGAAATTGCTTTGACTGTTTGAGATTTGTGTGTGTATTCTGTTTGAATCTTGGAAATTTTATTTACTTATTTTTAGTTCTCTAAGGAGTCATTGGTATCTTTAGGGATTATATTATTGCATTTTGCTTTGTGTAGGTAGAGTGAGCATTTTAATAATGATTAAAGGATTTCTTCCTTTTTACCTTCTTTCATTAATATATAATAAATTTTTTGTTTTTGTTTTGTAGAGATTGTTTCTGTTCAGGTTAAAATTTTTTGTGGTTGTTATAAATGAGATCCCCTACCCTTTTCCATTTCATTCAGTATCATTGTGAAGAAATCCTACTGATTGTTTTATGTTGAATTTATAACCTGCACTTTACTGAATACATTTAGTAGTTTTAGTGGGTTTCTTTGTGGAAATGTTAAGTTTACCTGCAAATAGTGATGATTTGAGTTTTCTCTGTTAGTTTGGACACAATTTACTTTTCTTTCCTATGTGTTCTATCACTGTCTTGAAATAGAAGTGAAAGAGAAGCTCTTGTCCTTTTAAAAATGATAGAGAAACTATTCAGCTTTTTCTCTGTCCATTATGTTAACTCTGGACTTCTTATTTTATGAGGTATATTCCTAAAATATCTGTTTAGTTCAGATTTTTCCCCCACATGAAGGGATGTTAAATTTATTCAAATTCCTTTTTTGGCAGTTAAAGATAGTCATAGATTTTACTCTTAATTCTGTTGATGTATGGTTTAGCACTTTTGTTGATTTGTATATGTTGAACATCCTGACATATCTGGGTTGCACCCCACCTAATCTTGTACAGTCTTTGCCGTGTGATGTTGAATTTGATTTGCTAGTACTTTATGGGAGGTTTTTTTTTTATCTATGCTTATCAGGAATATTGGCCTGCAGGGTTTTTTTTTTTGTTGTTGTTGTTGTTGTTTTGTTGTTGTTGTTATGTACTTCTGTGGTTTGGGTGTCAGGATAATTCTGGTCTAGTGGAATGAATTAGTAGAAATTGTCTTTAATTTTTGAATAATTGAGAAAAACTAGTTTCAATTTAGTGATGTCATCTGGTCCTGGACTTTGTTGTTGCATGACTTTTTATTTAGTCTCATTACTTGTTATTGACTTGTTCAAATTAGCTATTTAAGTTAGTTTTTCTTTTCTTATTATTGACTATCAATTGTTTTAAAGTGTTAGGGCTTTGCTGAATTGCCTTCAAACAAACACCTAGGTTCAGCAATTTCTCTTTCCTTGACCTTTCAAATAGCAAGAGCTGCAGGCATATATTCTCTGAATAGTCTCTCATAAGTTCATTTGTCCTTGTCCTTTTTCTTTTTAACAGCTCCAGAGATTTGTCATTTTTTCTATATCTTCAAAGAATGGAAATTTAAAAACATTCATTCTTTTGTTATGATGAAAGCATTCAAAATCCTTTCTTGTAGCTTTTTGATCTATACAGTTATCTGCAGTTATCCTCTTCTGTAACACACCGGAATGTCTCATTCCCGAGCTGTGACTTAGTGCCCACAGATCTCTTCCCCATCCTTCCATATCTCCACTCTCTGTTCTTTGGTAACCTTCATTCTATTCTCAACTTTTAATTAAATTTTAAAATTATTTTGAATTCTTTCTTTAGTAACTCCAGTATCTGAAGTTCTTCAGGAAATTCGATTTTCTTCCTCTGGATACTTCTACTTCATGCTTTATTTATTTATAGGGTTTGCAGTTTTGTTAATAAAATCTGACCGCTTCAGTACATAATGAGTTTAAGTGTTGAAATCAGATTTTCCCTAAGGTTTGACTCTGAATGCTGCTCCATGCATGTTGGTTGTCTGGGTATGCATATGGAGACTAGAGTGGGACATACCATGTCTTCCTCTAGCTTTAGACAGCATCTCTCACTCAGTGAGAACCAGGCCATTTTAGCACGTCTGGCTGGCCAGCAAGCTCCTTGCCCACAGTCCTATAGTATGGATATGAACAACCATGCCTGCTCGTTATGTAGATGCTCAGAATTAGAACTCAGACCCTCATGCTTTCAGGATAAGCACTCATCCGCTGAGCCATCATCCCGGCCTTGTTTGTCCTTTATTCATTTTCTTCTTTTCTCTTTCCTCCTACCTTCCTTTCCTCCCTCCCTTCCTTCTTGTCTTATTTTATTTTTACTGAACACCAGCTCTTATCTTATGGTTTTCTTGCTGTAAGTATTCAGTGCAGCCTGGCTTTCTTTTCCTTCTTTTGGGTTTTCAGCGGTTATTTGATTATCAGGAGCACTGTCAAAAGTACTGGGGATAGGGTACACATGAGAGAAAGAGTAAAGATTTTTGTTTACAAAAATAACTGCTAGGACTGTCCTTCAGTGCTTGCTGGCTTGCAGTGATTCCTGGATCTCTTACTTGAATGAGTCTTGCAGTTTTCTTGTTTTCTGGTAGTTCTAATAGGATTGCATATTGTGTATCTTTCTGACATGCTTTTTTTTTTTCTGAATTGTAACCATTGAAGTATTAGATATAAAAGTGACTTTGTCAAGCCATGTCAGAATTTTAGACATTGACTAAAAATGATTTGAGTATTATTTCAGAGTAGTTTCTTAGACCTTGTTATTTTTTGTTAATTTTTTTCTTGTTAGGCCTTCTCATTTCACAGATGTATCAAAGCATAGCTTTTCCCTTTGTTGTAATCTGTTAAGTCGAGTTTGCCATACAGCTGTAACTCACTGTAAGGATGCCCTAGAGAACCATCTTCATGTCATTGTTGGCACACTTATACCACTTGTGGATTATCCGGAGGTTCAAGAACAGGTAATTTACCAGTTGATCTACAGAGGGCTATTTGAGATAAATGAACTCTTAGGAATTAAATGCCGTTAGTTTGCCTGGTGTAGTTTTAATGCAAATGCTCTTTTGATAAATGGTGGGGAAGACATTATTAGTAAATTAATCTTTGAAATCAGTTACCTAACCATTGGTAATTTTAATCTAATAAATCTGTTAGTTTTGTCTATTGCACTGAAATGTAGTAGTCCAAAATAAAACTAGCAGTTCCCACAGTTATGCATTGTGAGATCCCATGTAAAATGTTCAGTTAACCCTGTTAATTGTTGTGCCCGCTGTGTGTAGCACTGTACGTATTTTAGTTTTTGAAGCTATGCACACCAATAGCTGGGTACCACACATACCATTAATTTCTAGGTTAGCAGAGGTTTGTTTGTTTAACTCTCTGAATACAATTAATGGGCTTTAACTCTCTGAATATAATTAATGCCTCCCCCTTTGGTTATTATTTAGGTATTGGACCTGTTGAAGTACTTGGTGATAGATAACAAGGACAATGAAAACCTCTTTGTCACGATTAAACTTTTGGATCCTTTTCCTGACCATGTTGTTTTTAAGAATTTGCGGCTTACTCAGCAGAAAATCAAATATAGTGGAGGACCCTTTTCACTCTTAGAGGTAATAAAAGTTTTGTTTATAACTTTGTATTACACAATATAGGCAGTAGTATTTTTTTAAACCTTTAATGCTCTGTTGATAAAGACAGAAAACTTTATGTTGTAGTAAAAGTAATTCATGAGACTTACCTTCTTAAATAAAATCTAAATATTTTTAAAAAATATATATATATTCTAAATATATTCTAAATTTGTATGTCTGTGTGTATACCTTATATGTACATGTACTCAAGGAAGTCAGAAGAAGTTTTCAGATTCCCCTGCTTCCGAAGTTATAGATAATCCTGAGCCACCTGACATGTGTTCTGGTAACTGAACACAGGTCCCCTGAAAGAGCAACCATGTCTTTTAACCCCCGGATGTTCTCTTCAGCCCCTCAAAACAGATCTTTATGCATCTTCTTGTATTGCATTTAATGTCTGGATATCAAAGCTCTGACTAAGATGAATTTGAATATTCAAAGAATATGATACAAAATATTATTAATTTTCATACAGTATGGTCCTATGGTTCATTAGTATTTGAAAATTGTTGCCCTTTTCTTTAAGGATTAATAATGTTTATATTAGTGATGATATTTAGCATGTTAATCTTTTATAAATTTTAGTTATGTCTATTCTTTTAAATGTTATAATTTAAAATCATCATATTAGACTATAAATCTGTAAACATTTAATGCATTCAGATATAAAATTCAAGTTATACTAGTAAATAAATAAAAATTGAACTGCTTGCTGTGGTAGTCTTAGAGTCTGTTGTTTTGACATCTAATGTAGATAAGAGACTCTTATCTACTTTAAAACATTGTCAGAACTAAAATGGAAGGAATGTATTGTTTTGTATTTCAGTGTCTATAGACACTGCTTATTATTTTTTCTTTTTTGGTTTTATTTTTCACACTTAGCCAGTACATACTCAACTAATACTAAGTTGATTTTGTCTTTTAGGAAATTAACCATTTTCTTTCTGTGAGTGCTTACAATCCACTTCCACTGACCAGGCTTGAAGGATTGAAGGATCTTCGAAGACAACTGGAGCAGCATAAAGATGAGACACTAGATCTTATGAGAGCATCTCAGGGTACTATTTATTTTTATGTGAACGGGTGTTTTGCTTGCATGTATATGTGTGCACCACATAACTTCAGTGCCTATGGAGACCAGAAGAAGGTATTGGATTCTTCTGGAACTTGAGTTAAAACATGGTTGTAAGCTGTCATATATGTGCTGAACCCGGATCATATATGTAACTGAACCTGGATCCTCTGCAAGAGCAGCAGTTGCTCTTAACAGATGAGCCAGCTCTACAGCTGCTTCCGGGTATTAATTTTAACATCATGAATTTTTTTCTTCCTGTTTCTTCTTCAGATATTCTTTTGTATATTCTTGGTCAGATTGCTCCATTGTCATTTATGTTCACATCATTGCAGAGAGGCCACTGTATGGTGTGTGCTAAGTTCTGAATACTGTGTGGTAACAGACTAAGCAAGGTCCCTGCTAGCTTTTGTGTTTAATGGTTCTTATTTTTCTCGTCATTTGTGACTTTGGTAAGGTATTAACTTTGCTGTTTAGCTTGTTCAAGCTCTTTCTCTGTCTGCTTGGTAAATTTTGCTAATCATTTTCATGTGGCAATATTTCAGAATTCTATCTGTTTTTTTAAAATCCATTTATGATTTAAGATATGTGTTGAAAAAAATATATATTATCCTTATGGAAATTGGAGCACTTTTCTCTAAACTATTTCTAGATAACCCACAGGATGGCATTGTGGTAAAGCTGGTTGTCAGCTTGTTGCAGCTATCCAAGATGGCAGTGAACCAGACTGGTGAAAGAGAAGTTTTAGGTAATGATTAAGTGAATGGTCTTCTTTAGTATGGTCAGAGTAAGTGTAAGCTTGTTTGATTTACTGGAGAAATAAGGGTGGTTTGCTAAGTTATGTTTCTGCAGGTAAACTCTAGATACCCACCTTTCATATTCCTTAGATGTGCTTATAAGATAAAGTTAGCAATAATCATTAATAGTGTATAAATGTTAATTTTAAAACACCTTATAAAGATGTAGGAATATCATAAATCTCTGCTTAGTAAACTTCTGAGATATTTTATAAATATGGCTTACTGGTATTTATATACTGGTTTATTTTGTACATAGCAAATAGGAACAGCGCTTCTGAAGGATGGTTAAATTCACATCTTTTAAAATACCATTTAGATTTTTCCTTGAGTATAGGTATTTAGATTTGGTGGTTTTAGAATGGAAAGTCACATGATTAACATTGGCTGGAAGCTGGCATGGCAGTGGTGCCTTACTGAGACTGGGGAGTATGAGAGCTGTTGGTGCACTTTCTCGGTTCCCACTGGAGCCTATTATCTAGCATACTTGCTTTTAGTTTGGTTTTTATTGAAATGTATCTTACATGTAGACATGAATACAGACCAAATGTACCTAGTTTAAAGTATACAATCAAAGAATACCTGTGCATCTGCCACCCAGATCCAGAAATTGAACCTTAGGGAACCCTTGAGTCTCCCCTGCCCCCAGAATTAACATCCTTGTTCATTGTCCTGCTTCTGGACATAAAGCTGCTTTGCTCCAGGAGCCCAATGTAGCTTTCTTGTGTGACACACAAGAAGAATCCTGTTTTGTGCCTCATTTAGTGGTAATAGACTGAAACCTTTCCTCTAACATCAGGAATTAGAAAAGTTTTTTTAACTTTACTGCTTGTATTCGGCACTACATTGAAGTTCTAACCAGAGTGTCAAGCAAGGAAAAGAACTGCAAAGTGTGGAAAGGAAACAATGCCTGTAATTATAGATGGCATTTTCACTGAATTAGATGTTTAGGATTTATGAATAATATATGTGTGATACCCGGGATTTCCTTTTTTTAATGTTTTAAGATTGACACTTTATATGGTGTCAGCCATGTTAATACTTGTGCTTTTAATATTCTGTTACTATAATTGTTAACTTATTTTCTATCACCTCTGAGAAAAAAAATATATTACAACATTGATGTGTTTTAATGCTGGAAGACACTGAAATCTTTGAAGCATGACAAAATGGTGTTAATACTTTTTAAATTGGAAGTGTTGTATACCCTTCTACTTATGGCTGTACTAAAATTAAGTTTTTATATGTAGAGGCTGTTGGAAGGTGTTTGGGAGAAATAGGTCCTCTGGATTTCTCTACTATAGCTGTACAGCATAATAAAGACACATCGTTTACCAAAACCCTTGGGTTGCCCGAAGATAAAGAACTTCAGTGGACTTTGATAATGCTAACTGCCCTGAACAATACACTGGTAGAAGATAGGTGAGTACTTACACACCTTGCATTCAATTACAGAAACCGAAACCAAATCTGGCTCTCAGGAAGATTATGCTAATGCTTCACTTACCATTTTGCCTTGCAAGTTCTTCCTTGGTTCCTTCTTCCCTCCTCCCTCCCTCCTTTCCTTTCTTTCTGTTTCTCTCTCTTTAAAAAGTTTTTTATATTTCCTTTATGTGCATGAATGTTTGGCCTGCGTGTGTGTATGTACATGCATGCCTGATGCCCAGGGAACTCAGAAGAGGGTATTGGATACCCTGGACTGGAGTTGGGTGATTGATTGTGAAACACCATGTGGATGCTGGGCATCTAACCCAGGTCCTCTGCAAGAGCAATGAGTGTTCTTAACCACTAAGACATTTCTTTACTCTCGACTTTCAAGTTCTTACATTAAAAAACTCTTGTATGTTTTTTATTAATTTGTGTGATTAAATACCCTCTGTTCCTGATACTTGATGGTGATGAAGAGTAAAGTCTGTTTTAAATCCAGTGAGACTAAGTTAGACAAAGGATAAAGAAGTAAACTGCCAGGTGGTTCCACACAGACAATGTAAATCATGAGTGTAGGCTGGTGGGATGGCTCAACAGGTAAAATGCACCTGCCATCAAACTTGACAACCTGAGTTTGATCCCCAGAAGTCATGGTAAAGGGAGAGAGCCTTGTCCTGGAAGTTGTCTTCTGACTGCTACAAGCATGGTGTCATGCACCTTCACCCTTACAAATTTAAATACAGGGATGTAAAAAGTAATGTATTTTGTGATTTTTAAAACCAGGGTGCTATGTTCCTCCAAGCAAATCTTTGTTTTGAATCTTTTAGAATAATCCATGGAGCAAAAGCTTTCTAACCACCAAAATTTTGAAATAATAGAATTTTCTATTACTATTTTATTCCTTGTTCAAAACAAAATTTTAAGATACAGTCACTATTTTAGCTTGTTGATTGTCGGATTACTTTCCTTTCATTATTTATTAGCTTATTATTTATTGTACTGTTATTATTAATTGTTTGCAATAATCGAGACTAAATCCAGGGCCTTACATCGAGGCATCACTGAGCCATATTCCCAGCTCTCTCATTATTTAGTCATCGACTTAACTGGTTTATTTGTCCACCCCATCATTACCATTGTGGGAGGCTCAGTTCAGAGGATTAACAATGGTAGGAAAGTTAGGGAACATGATTTTAAAAAAGGATAGCAGTAAAATGTTAATGGAAGAAAAATGTCAATGCAAAAATTTACACAGTAAGCATACAGATATTCCCTGTAATTTTTTTTCACCTTTACTGTATATATGAAAATTTATATAATAAAATGTTAGGAAAGAATCCATGCCGGCCAGTTTAATATAACAAAAACAACGATAACAAAAAAAGTAAAGGTCCATTAAATCGGTAATGGAAACATGGTAGATTATAAGAGGATAGGCAGAAGAATAAAGCCAACAAACATATATACCTTTAAGAGATGACCAGAGCTAGTTCCAACACAGCTTAGGCTACACAGAGAGGAACCCCCGTCTCAAAAAAAGCCACAAAAAAAAGAAAGAAAAAAAAAAGGAAGAAGAAGACAGGAACTAGAGCAGAGCCCATGAATAAATGAATGCTACATACCAGTTTGCTCTCTAGGTCAGCTACATTTCTTATATCTGTTAGGATCACCTGTCCAGGTGTAGCACTGTCCTCAGTGGCCTGGGTCCTAACCATTAATTAGGAAAATGTCCCCAGACTTCTCCACAGGCCAGTCTGATGGAGGCATCACCTCAGATAACTCTAGGTGTGTCAAGTTGTCCAAAAAAAAAAAAAAGAAAAGAAAAGAAAAGAAAAAAATCAGTACAGTGACTAAACAGGAATTGGTTGTGAAATTATTGCTATAGTACAGAGGAGAAGAATTATCATATGACTTAGGGAGTTAGGAGACCAATATTGAACATGAGGGGCATGGATGGAAGCAGGATATGTTTTTAACAGAGTCAGTTGGATTTAATGAGGAATTAGATGTGGAAGAATGAATCCAGGTTTATAGGTCATCTTCTGGGTAATTAGCAAAGCATACCTGAACAGAATTAAATCTTCTTTGTTAACTTGTCATTATTCTAATTTCAGGGCCTGCTAGCTTTTTTTGTTGTTGTTGTCTTGTCAGTTGCCATATTTTCAGGACTGTTGTAGCCCTCTATCTCCTGGGGTGTTTTTGTTTTAAAAGAAGAAATTTTACTTTTTTTCTAGAAATTTTAAGTGCTAATGATTTTCAACTAACTGCTTTGTCAGAATGAGTATGTACCTTCAAAATATATATTTGCAATAATTTTATCATTTGGAGTTAGATATCATTGTACCTCACCTTAAAATAATTTGTATTACTAGAGAAAATACTGTCAATATGTTTCCTTAGGTGAATTCATCATATTTATGATTCTATGGTTTTCTAAGTAATTCCCCTTAAGAATTCTTTAAATTATGATCATTGTAACATAGTCATTATTGTATAGAATGAAGAGAATTGCTGCTAAAGTGATCAGTAACTCATGTTTACTGAGGGAATATTTTAAAAAATCTTTGGCTTTTTTCTTCAGTGTTACAGAGTTTTATAGATAGGAAGTTTCTAATACTTTAAATTTTAGTTTTAAAATTTTCCAGTTGAATTTGCATAACATTCCAAATTGATAAATTAATTGTGATGTTTTTCAGTGTCAAAGTTCGATCAGCTGCTGCTACCTGTTTGAAAAACATTTTGGCTACAAAGACTGGACACAGTTTCTGGGAGGCTTATAAGACTTCTGAAGATCCCATGCTGATCTACCTACAGCCTTTTAGAACATCAAGGAAAAAGGTCCCTTAAATAACAAGTGTTTGTTGAATATCTATTATTTGTAAAATGATTACATTTGTTTTGTACTCTAGATATCAAATTGCTTAAAATAGTTATGTACTAATATACTGTTCGGTAGAAAAATTCATACTGTACATTTTTTTAATTTAAGGAACTTGTTATTTTTCACTAGGGCAGGATAGAAACATTGAAATAGATAACCTAGAGAAGTGGTGATTTGGTGCTGAGGGAAATTGTTTTCAGGTATAGCAAACCATTTGATCCCATGCACCATCAATCCTGGATGATTTTAGATATTGTGATCAGCCAACAAGCATTTACTGCTTAGCACAACTGGGATAAATATAAGAGGACTGTATGCATCCTCCTTGTATGTTGATGTCATAACAATTCTGCTGAACGCAGTCTGCAATAATGTTAAGAGCTTTTGCATCTCTTGTTACTAAGCATTCCTCTTTTCAGAAAGTGATAGCAATATGCAATTGCCTTTTTCCTGCTTAAGTTCAATGGAAGTACCCATCATTAAAGTAGTAATTTTAATGTATCATAGTTTGATTCTTAGCAAAATTAGTAAGAACTGTTAATGAAGTTACTAATATAGCTTAGTGTAAAGTCTTTTTAACATGTAAAAATCTCATTTTGAAATCATTTTTTATGGTAGATTTGAGCCAGTGTTGTAGATGAGCCAGATGAGGCAGAGTGTGAATTGTATAGTACACTACCAGCGAGTGACAGAGCTAACAGTAGAACTCCTGTTTCTCACTCCCGCACCAGTAATATTGTTACTGTTTCACTCCCTAGTTTAAGCCCCCCATCTCACATATGTGCTCCCCCTTCCCTCTCTTTTATTTTTGGAGCAGGGATTGGATCTTAGGGCCTTGTACTTGACCTATATCCCAACTCTATTTTACTTTTATTTTAAGACAGGATTTCACTACGATACCAAGCAGGCTTTGAACTTAAAATCCTCCTACTTCAGCTCCTGAATAGTTAAGACTGCAGCCTGAACCACCATTCCTAGTCTAATCTGTTTAACTTTTAAAAGGCAAATAATTGTATTCAGATTTACTCCTTTTATTAAGCATTTATTTTCTCTTTTGTGTGTTTATACGTGTAGACATGTGCCAGAGTCAGTTCCCTCCTCACACCATGTAGGTTCTGGGGATCAGACTTAGGTCAGTGAGGGTTGATGGCAAGTGCTGACCTATATGGCGGCCCTAGGTGTAGTCTAAGTGTACTTAGTTTTATTGGAAACAGATTTGACTGCATGGATATTTATTTGACAGGGAAATGATTTTCTGCTTCTAGTTTTTAGAAATACCCCAGTTTGTTAAAAAAGATACCTTAGAAGGCTTGGATGATATGAATCTGTGGGTTCCTCAAAGTGAAAGTCATGACATTTGGATAAAGACTCTGACATGTGCCTTTTTGGACAGTGGAGGCATAAAAAGTGAAATTCTTCAGTTATTAAAGCCAATGTGTGAGGTAAGAGGATTAATTAATCTGATTTAGAGCCTGTGGTTTTGTTCTTCTTTGCTTTTCCCATTCTATTTAATTTCTGTGTATTTGATCGTGATTTGCATATTTGAAAAGAATACTAAGTGATGACTATATCATCTGCCTGCAGTGTAATCCACATTTAGTTGCTGTAAATCCATTGAAGTAGGTATCTTTGGTTAGCCGGAACTACAGGGCAGACTTTAGTTTTTTTGTTTGGTTGGTTTTGGTTTTTTTTGAGACAGGGTTTCTCTGTGTAACTGTTCTGACTGTCCTGGAACTCGCTTTGTAGACCAGGTGGCCTCAAACTCACTGAGATCTGCCTGCCTCTGCCTCCTGAGTGCTGGGATTACGGACATGTGCCACTACTGCTTTGCCACACTTTAGTTTTGAGATGACAACGTACTAGTTAAATTCTACATAGTACTAGAATAAATTAGTAATGACATGTAAAACAATGGTGATTATAAATTTTTTGTATTAATGAAAGTCAGCTCCTGTTTGCTGTCGATTGGCATTCTTCAGCATGCTTTCTGAGTGAAGAAAGTTAGGTAGCAGTAGAGTTTTACATTGGAAGGTCTGGTACAGTTGATTTCAGCAATTCAAAGAGCTAAGGATGTTTGAGGACAAAGACTGTGGCTCACTGGGAGAATATGTGCCTCTAGTGCATTAGGAGCAGGGGGCACTGCTGGTGTTTTCTTGGTTGGTTATTGTTTCGTTTTGAGATAGGGTCTCCGTGTGTAACCAGTGATGACTTTAAACTCCTGTTCCTCCTATCACCATATCTCAAGCCCTGAGATACCATACTTGGCATTACTGGTTTTTTTTTTTTATTTTCTTTAAAAACTACTTGATATACAATTTTGGTGATGGTGGTTGGTGTTTAGTACTATCTTGAGTTCATGGTAGACCAACGTAGTATTTTTAAATTTTTCATATGCCAGTAATGGGGTAAACATTTTAAGTGAATTGTGTTACTCTAAGCAGTTGTGTGGGTGTGTACTGTGTTCTAGGTGAAACCTGACTTCTGCCAGACTGTGCTGCCATACTTGATCCATGATGTCTTACTCCAAGATACACATGAATCTTGGCGGACTCTGCTGTCTACACATGTCCGAGGATTTTTCACTAGCTGTTTTAAACACTTCTCACAGGCAAGCCGATCAGCAACTCCTGCAAGTTCGGATTCAGGTATGCTGTTCAGTTGTTAATGTTTATACTGTAAACTTCTCAGCCTTAGAGAAAGATGGTTCAGTAAATAACAGGGCAGCTTACTGTGCATTCTGTATGTCTGGCATTGTGCTTGTAATGTTTGTAACAACAGAGCTCCCATTTTAGATAAAAACGTAAACTTATCCACATGTTTGGTACCATGGTAGAGGTAGGTATGATGGAATTTTTATATTTTTAGACCTCTGGCCAACTACTTTTTAAAAACTTTTTATCACCAAATCAGGCGTATTTTTGTAGACAATAAAGGTTCTATAAGTTTTTTGAAAAATAAATTATTCAAAAAGAAAAAAATTAAATTGCTCATAATCATATAATCTAAGATATCTACATTTGGATTCATATGTACATAAGATCTGATATTCTGCTACAAAGTAGGGTGACAGTTGATAATAATAATGATTGCATATAAAAACCTTTTGGTTTGTTGGAAAGTACATAACCTGAGTTTGATTCTCAACACCACATTGGGTAGCTCACCTGTAACTCCAGCTCCATGGGGACCTGACACCTCTTTCTTCCATGGGCACTTGTCTTCATGTGCATATACCTACACATTTTTAAAAAAATCTTCCTAAAACACACTGAAGAATAGTTACTATGTTTTTATTATACTTAATTTTTTATTTGATATTTATTTTTGTCATAAATATTTTTATTGATATTTATTGAGCTCTACATTTTTCTCTGCTCCCCTCTCCCCTTCAGCCCTCCCCCAAGGTTCCTATGCTCCCAATTTACTCAGGAGATCTTGTCTTTATCCACTTTCTACTTCCCATGTAGATTAGATCTATGTAAGTCTCTCTTAGGGTCCTCATTGTTGTCTAGGTTCTCTGGAATTGTGATTTGTGGGCTGGCTTTCTTTGCTTTATGTTTAAAAACTACCTATGAGTGAGTACATGTGATAATTGTCTTTCTGTGTCTGGGTTACCTCACTATAAATGATGTTTTCTAACTCCATCTATTTTCCTGCAAAATTCAAGATGTTATTTTTTTCTGCTGTCTAGTACTCCATTGTGTAAATGTACCACATTTTCCTTATTCATTCTTTGGTTGAGAGGCATTTAGGTTGTTTCCAGGTTCTGGCTATGCCAAACAATGTTGCTATGAACATAGTTGAGCACATATCCTTGTGGCACAATTGAGCATCCTTTGGATATATACCCAAAAGTGGTATTACTGGGTCTTGAGGAAGGTTGTTTCCTAATTTTCTGAGAAATCGCCACACTGACATCCAAAGGGGTTGTACCAGCTTGCATTCCCACCAGCAATACTTAAATTTTTGAGGAGATAGATATACTCCTGATTTAACCTCACTAAAACATTATAGAATACATACTTATAGTGAAAAAATCAAATGGCATCTCATTAATATGTATGATTTCAGTTCAATTCAAAAGTAACAACTTGTCCGAAAGAACATACAAATATCAACACAGACATGGCTGCCCCACCTTTGATCTTATTAGACTAGAAGTTGTTCATCAAAATGATCTGGAATATGCTTAATGAAATTTTGGGGAAATTGCTGAATTAAAAATCTTAAAGTATGGGTTGATGTGATGGTTTTAATGGGTAAGGTTCCTTGCCACCAAAAACTGATGACCTGAGTTCTTGAGAAACCCACATAGTGGAAGGAGAAAACCAACCTGCTCAAGTGTCTCTTTTCTGATCTCCATACGAGCTCCCTGCCTGAGTGCCCACATGTACAATAACTATTTTAAAGTCTATTTTAAAAAATAATTTAAGATAATGTAAAAAATCTAAAATAAAAACTCTTGATGAGACTTTGTTAGCTGTCTACAATATATCACCTATGTTTAATTGGGGAAAAATATGTGATCCATAGGTATAAGTAATAATTTGAAGTTTATTTTAAGTATCTTTTAAACAGCTTTACCACTTATGTTTATACTCTGATCACTTAATAGCAAAATTATCTAGTTTTGTCTTTAGAGAGGGCTAATAGAGAGCTAATATTTTTATTACCTTAAATGAAATTTTGGACTTTACATATATAAAACTATTATTGAAATGGCAATAAATGTAGATTCCTGTAAATCTTTTTTTTTTTATTTTTTTTTTTATTGAGAATAAGAAAAAAAAAGTTTCCGCCTCCTCCCAGCCTCCCATTTCCCTTCCCCTCCCCCACTCTTCTCCCCCTCCCCCCTCTCTTCTCCCCCTCCCCCCACTCCTCTCCCCCTCCCTCTCCTATCCAAAGAGCAGTCATGGTTCCCTGCCCTGTGGAAAGTCCAAGGTCCTCCCCCCTCCCTCCATGTCTAGNAACCTCATTAGCAATCAGGGAAATGCAAATCAAAACAACTTTGAGATATCATCTCACACCTGTCAGAATGGCTAAAATCAAAAGCACCGATGATAGCCTTTGCTGGAGAGGCTGTGGAGGAAGGGGTACCCTCATCCATTGCTGGTGGGAATGCAATCTTGTGCAACCACTTTGGAAATCAGTGTTTCGGTTTCTCAGGAAATTCGGGATCAACCTACCCCTGGACCCAGCAATACCACTCTTGGGAATATACCCAAGAGATGCCCTATCATATGACAAAAGCATTTGTTCAACTATGTTCATAGCAGCATTATTTGTAATAGCCAGAACCTGGAAACAACCTAGATGCCCTTCAATGGAAGAATGGATGAAGAAAGTGTGGAATATATACACATTAGAGTATTATGCTGCGGTAAAAAACAATGACTTCTCGAATTTTGCATGCAAATGGATGGAAATAGAAAACACTATCCTGAGCGAGGTAACCCAGACCCAAAAAGATGAACATGGGATGTATTCACTCATAATTGGTTTCTAGCCATAAATAAAGGTCACGGAGTGTATACCTGGTGAACCTAAAGAAGCTAACGAAGAAGGTGAACCCAAGAAAAAACATATAGTTATCCTCTTGGCTAAGGGAAGTAGATAAAATTGCCGGGGACAAAATTGGGATCTTGGGGGTGGGGTGGGTTGGGGATAAGGAGGGACAGGGAGAGAAAAGTAAGAAGGGGAGGATTGGGGGAACTTGAGGAAACAGGAAGATTGGGATAAAGGAAGGTTGGATAGGGGAGCAGGGAAGCACATATCTTAGTTAAAAGAGCCACCTTAGTGTTGGCAACAGACTTGATTCCTGTAAATCTTAAATGCTGTATCTGTTTCTGGTGTCTGGAAGTCTCACACCTTTACTTGAATGTATCACATGAATCTCAAACTCAGTTATGTAAATAAAAATTCATGGTGCTTTGCTGCCCACATGGAGACCCTTCTCACCCTCTGCGTACCTAGTCTTGCCAGGTCTGTTTGCTCATTCACCATCATCCTTTCTGCTTTCTAGCTCTGATTCAGAAAGTTGAGATGCCCTCACTACCTTCTGAACTCTACTTACTACTAACCATCTCGGGTACACATTTTTTAGCATTTAGTTTTTTGAGACAGCAACTCAAATTCTCCTCATATAGCAGTGGAAGACTTTGAACTTCTAATTCTCCTGTGTTTACCTCTCAAGTGTTGGTATTAGAGGCACATGCCATGACACCCAGTTTATACAGTGCTGGAGATCGAGCCCAGGGCTTCGTGCAGGCTAGCACAACACTCCTTCCAACTGAGCTGCACTCACCCCATTGGACTCTGCTGACTTTTCCTGGTACTCCATACTTTCCCTTCTCCCACCGACCAGTATTTTGGCTTCAGATGTTACTTTCTCCTTCAAGCTTTTCTTAGTCCAGGTGAGGTCACTCTCACATAAATTCTACAGCAATCTCAACCTTTCTGTCACTCCTCTTATCACACCATATTAAGAGCCTCCAGGCTAACCAGTGAGTTCTGTGTGCAGAAGCAGTCTTGATTTGTTCATGATTGCGAATGTACTAAACACCCAGCACATAAGACATCTCAAGCCAGTAGGTACTGCTTCAGAAACAAATTACAATTGGCACCATCAGTTCTTGTTTATCCTATAACATATTGTTTCTTTTGAAATAAAAGGAATGGCGTGTTGAAATAGTAGCGGCGGCAGGGCTGCGTCCCCGGCACCCAGCCGCCCGCATGGCTAGCTTATGCCCAGAAATAATTACACGGAAACTGTATTCTTTCAAACACTGCCTGGCCCGGCTAGTTCCAGTTTCTTATTGGTTAGCTCTTACATATTGTTCTAACCCATTTCTAATATTCTGTGTAGCCCACGAGCTGGCTTACCAGGGAGGATCTTAACCTGCGTCTGTCTGGAGCGGGAGAACCATGGCGACTCCTTCACTAAGCTTCTTTTTCCCAGCATTCTCTTCTGTCTACTCCGCCTACCTAATTTTCTGTCCTATGAGGGCCGAGGCAGTTTCTTTATTATTAAGAAATCACTCCCACATCAATGGCGCTAAATTAAATTGATTTAAATTTATTAAGAAGCATTTTTGTTTTGGGTAACCACCCATCAGTGTAGAAGGAGAAGGACACAGACAAGAAAGTACTTTTATATCACTCTGAGAGTCAGAAGAGCTATTTCTGTTTCTTTTAGAGCCAGAGCACTTTCTCCGATGCTGTTTCGATAAAAAGTCACAAAGAACAATGCTTGCTGTTGTCGACTATTTGAGAAGGCAGAAGAGGTAATGTGGTAACAGTTGTTTCTCAGGTTGGGAACTGAGCACTGTACCTTCCTTCTGGCTACATTTTAGCTTGATTGTTTTATTTGCAACTGCTTCAGACTGCTAAAATTAATGGGTAGGATACTTCTATATTTTAGTAATCTGTATGCAGCACAACACTTAGGTCAAGTGTGGGGAACTGTTGGTTCTTGTCCCAGTTGTCCAGCAGGCATACTGCTGTGGCTAAGTCATGCTCTAATGAATGTGAGAAAGAAGTATATCGTTTTCCCAGATTGTTCTCAGTACTGCTGCTGCTGCTCATTAAATAGTTCTTAGAGTACCGAGAGTCAGATGTCTCCTTTATCATCTGTGTTATAAGGTAAAGCTTTTGTTGCTGTGTGCCATACTTACCATGAAAATCTCTAGAATTTTTGTGATATGACAGAATTTAGGTAAGTTACTTTGCAATATAGTGTCTTTGTTTCTATTGTTATTTTTTAACTTTCTTTTTATTCTTTGTGTTTTTTCACATCATGCATCTCCAACCCATTTGTTTCTCCATTCCTTCGTAGCCACCCTCTGCCCTTGCAACCTTTCCCCCTCAAATAAAAAAATTTAAAAGAAAAAAGGAAAAATTAGTCTCGTCGTGGAAGCTGTAGTGTTCATTACAACAGAAAAGACATGTGTATTACTTTCCCATCACTGTGACAAAATACCCAATGAGAGTAGCTTAAGGAAAGGAAGGAAGGGTTGATTGTGGCTTTTAGTTTGAGGTGTATGTTTGGCTGTGTTGGGGGAAGGTATGGTGGCAACAACAGGAGGCAGGTGATAGCTTTTTCTTCATTTTTAGGAAGCAGAGAGTCATTGATGCTGGAGCTCAGCTTTTTAGCACAGGATCTGAGCTCATGAAATGGTGCTACCCATATTCAGGGTGGGTCTTCTCACATCAGTTAACTTAGTCTAGAAATCTGTGAAAAGACATGCCCAGAAGTTTGTATCCACGGTCTTCCTAAATTCCATCAAGTAGTCAGTTAGAATTAGCCCATCACAGTTTATTTTTCCTGTCTGAGAAGAAACCCTGTTTTCATACTGAAAGTGGTTATGAAGCTGTCCTTTGCAACTGATGATGTAAAGTGTGGGTGCAGAGCCCAGATTTGTATGGCGTGATAATTGGTAGTTTTCTGCAGATTCTCTGAGAGGTTTATGAGTCAAGACCATTGAGAACTGGACTTTAGCCGGGCTGTCTCAGAATGGTTTATACATTTATACCATACACTAGAGAATTGTGGCTTTCAGCTCTGTTCTGTACCATTGTGCTTCTTGTGTTAGCAGTGACATGGCATCGTGTTTACTTCCTCTTCAGGCCTTCTTCAGGAACAGCTTTTGATGATGCTTTCTGGCTGGATTTGAATTACCTGGAGGTTGCAAAGGTGGCTCAGTCTTGTGCTGCTCACTTCACAGCATTGCTCTACGCAGAGATCTATTCAGATAAGAAAAGCATGGATGAACAAGAGAAAAGGTAATGGATTTTGACATTTTGGTTTTTAAATTTGTATTAATATTGTTTCAATGAAATTATGTAGTAAAGATAATTTTCCCCATTTCTCCATTTAAAAGACACTTTAGCCAGAATTTTTTTTTATTTATTAGATTTAAAAAAAAATACCAATCCAAATTCCCACTCCCTCCTCTCCTCCCAATACCTTCACACACTCTCCCACCCCACCCCCCCTCTAGTCCTAAGAGAGGGCAAGGCATTTTACTTTGTGGAAGGTTCAAGGCCTTCCCTACTACATCTAGGCTGAGAAAGGTATACATCCAAAGAGAATAAGATCCCCAAAAGCCAGTACACGCAGTAGAGATAAATCCCAGTGCCACTGCCAATGACCCCTCAGTCTTCCCCCACCATACAACTGTCAACCACATTCAAAGGGACTAGTTTGGTCCTATGCTTGTTCCTTCCCAGTCCAGCTGGAGTTGGTGAGCTCCCATTAACTCAGGTAAACTGTTTCAGTGGATGAACCCTTCATGGTCTTGACCTCCTTGCTCATATTCTCACTCTTCACCTGGACCTTGGGAGCTCAGTCCAGTACTCCGATGTGGTTCTCTGCCTTTGTTTCCATCTGCTGTTGGATGAAGGTTCTGTGGTGATATTTAAGATAATCATCAGTCTGACTACAGGGCAAGGCCAGTTCGGGGCCCCTCTCCTCTGTTGCTTAGGCTCTTAGCTGGGGTCATCCTTGTGGATTTCTGGGAATTTTTTTAGAGCCAGGTTTCTTGCTAACCCCACAGTGGCTTCCTCAATCAAGATATCGCTTTCCAACTTAGTAAGGTAGTGCCGAATTGTTTCTTAAAGTGATTGTACCAGTTTGTATAGTTAGCAAAAGTAGTTGAGCTGGGCGATGGTGGTGCACGCCTTTGATCCCAGCACTTGGGAGGCAAAGGCAGACGGATCTCCAAGAGCTCGAGGCCAGCGTGGTCTATAAGAGCTAGTTCCAGAACAATGAGAGTGGTTACACAGAGAAACCCTATCTTGACA